CTCACATGTTCTGTATTAAAATCTAAATCCAAAGGGAAAAATGTGCGAAACTGGTGGCAGGAAGCAAAGATGAAATATCTCATACACTGCTGCCACGGTGGTTGTGAAAATGAGAGGTTTCAAATTAAATTGAAAAAGTGTGAAACAAACATTAACAACAAATGTAGTTTAGGATTAATCATTTACTGGACTGTCAGTGCAAAAAGAGTCATTTTTCACACAAGGAACTGTTTGCATTTACCTTAAAAAAACAGAGACTAAGCCAAATATGGCTTGAACAGCAAAGCCATGACACACTGGGGGCTAACCTGGTTAAGGAGCTTTCATATGCAATGGCATTTTTGGGTGGCATGTTTGATTTAGCACAGACCAACCAGCCTGAGGTAATGGGATCCTTCTGCAACTCACTGTAGCCAAGATTTGTTTGCATACACTTGCACAGACAAATCAAGGAAAGCACACATCTATGCACACACAGAGACACCACCTTGAGATGACATAAACCAAAACTGAACAGGAGCCAGCGCTACGACACAGAGTTCAAGGTCTGATCCTTGAGTGTAACAGGTTCACTGTTGAACATGTTGCTTGAAGGCTGCAAGGTAAGAACTAAGCAAGACTAATGGATCTCAGCACAACAGGAAACACTCGGAGCACTCCAAGGGAAAATCTAAACACGCCAGTACAGTAGATAGACCGTGGTAACAACAGCCCAGAGCACAAGAGCTTTTATTCTGATCATGTGAGGTGAAACATGGGAAGGTTCCTGCGACTGGAAGCTAAAAGAGACATGACAGGACTTGATTAGGTGATGCCAAACATAGAGCAAAAGAGAAATGGCTAATTAACATATTTAAAGGAGACACGTTACAAGTTTTTAGAAGTTATAATAGTTCTATGGTCTGTACCAAACATGCTTATGAACATCTTTGCATTAAATCCCTTTTACATGAAGGTATTTCAGCAGTTTTATTCTTGGCCGTTTCTGTACCTTCCAGAATGAGCTGTTTCAGGGCTCAGAAAACAAGGTGGAGCTGGCCACACCCACCCTGCCCCCACCCAGGCTGCTATAAGCCAAGAAGCTTCAAAGTCCGAGAGGGGCTTGGAGTAGAGCCACAGCAACTGCTCTCCAGCAATTAAAGTTGCAAAATGTATGTCTCTTAACAACATTTTCACATAGTGCAGCTATAAGTATATTGTAGAGATTAACTCGTTAACTACAGGGCGGGCCCGGGAACAAGCCCTTGCACCTTGAGAGTAAAGATCACGGCTCTACAGCTGATTTTCACCCATGCGTGGCACACGACACGTGATCAGGAAACAGAAAATTCATGACTTAGGGGATTGTTTTAGGACGTTGCTGTGAAAACAGCGAGGCACTAACCGGAAAAGCTTCTGTTGCTCACACTTCAACAACAAATTGTAAAAGAACGGAAAAAGCTACAAACGCTACGATTCTTCCTGATGTAAGAAGTTAGTCTACTCTTTCTTTTGGTAGTTTGGGTGTTTACATGGTCATAGAGCACAATATTCTGTAAATGGCAAATGGTCTGTATTTGATATAGCACCTTCAAGAGTCCTGGAACCACCCAAGGTGCTTTACAACACAATCAGTCATTCACCCATCCACACACACATTCACACACTGGTGGGGATGAGCTACGATGTAGCCACAGCATCTCTGGGGCGCACTGACGGACGCGAGGCTGCCGAGCACTGGTGCCACCGGTCCCTCCGACCACCACCAGCAGGCAAGGGGGGTTAAGTGCCTTGCCCAAGGACACAATGACAACAACAGACTGAGCGGGGTTCGAACCTGCAACCTTCCGATTACAGGGCGAGCACCTCCTGTGCCACTGTCGCCCCCTGTGACTGTTCAAAAACAGTAAAAATGCTCAAAAACGCTGGCAGTCAGGGGCTTTCTGTTCATATAACTAGTGGCTGTTAATGAGCAAAAAAAAAAAAATCTAAATGGTTCTCACGCATTTGTCTAAAAACCTCAACCAATAACAGGTTTCGCACAGAAAACAACTATTGGACCATCCGGTAGTCGGTCTTGCTAAACCACTGCACTTCCCTGGGTCTTCCATTTATTATACACTTGTATATTTCAGCAACAGAACACCCCTGGTGTGAAAGATTTGTAGCTCAATAACATCAGAGGAGAGACAGTGGGGATAGAACATCGACGTTGCAGAGCAATTAGTCAGTGGTAGAATCACGTTGCTGTTATCCAATCCAAGGCAACATGTCCAAATATCAGGAAATAAGACTCCAAATCCTGCCGTGTTTAGTGCTCCCCTAATGTGGAATTCTGCTAGTTCCTGAAACAAGCGCATCTGAGAGACCCCCCCCCCTGCAAATGTATTGATTAAACGAGTGTCTCACACCTTTAACTAGCTGTATATGTGTACCTTAATTCATGCCAAGTTCAAAGCTGTGCCAGAAATATTAAAACATACAATAAAATCTTAAAGATGTGCCTCCACTCAAACTTAACTCGTGCTTGAACATCAATAGATTTAGTTCATCTTGCTTTGAAAACAGCCCATGAAGAGCTAAGAAGAGATTGACTCAAAGGAAACCTTTTTCAGGCTGCGGAGACTAGACAGACAACCAGTGTTACACAACAGACCACAAATAGAGACCTGGGTGACAGGTGGGAGACTGAGGCAACGAATGTGATAACGTGAAAACAGTGAGAAAAAGCCAAACGGAGGATGTGAAAAATAAAAAAGGCTAGAGACAGAAGAGAGGAGGAGGAAACACAATAACACACTTCATCAACAACAGCGGCAAGGCAGAAAAAGAGTAACTGAGTTCAAGTAAAAACACACTGTATAAAAGGTTGCTTATCAAGTTGAAGGAAATGGGAGAAACTAATTAGACCTGTATAAGACGACAAAGCCCGAGACACAGACACCTATACAACTGAGTGCCAAGACATAAACGCAACAGACTCTAACGGAGAAACTATTTCTACCGAAGGACAAATCAAGAGGACACAGAGTTTAACTGCTCTCGCTGATTATTTAACGAATCTGTTCATTTCTCCTGCACAAAGCAGCATCCCAATAGTTCATCAATAAAACATTTACTCTGGTTCCTCTCACAATGAAACTGTCTATTTATCTTTATTATCTGCATGACAGAAGCAAACTGCCAGTGTCGTCTCCCTCTCTGAGCAGGAAACTGCTGCTCCGTGTTTCAGTAGGAAAACTCCCCACCACTCACTCAATCTCCCCTTTTCTCTCCCTCAACAAAAGCTGCTTGTCAATATCTCGCTCCGTCGCTGTTCGCCAGTCTGGAAATAGAGAGTGATGGCACCATTTAGAGCCAAGAGTGAATACACTCTGACATACGGCCTGACAATAGAACAGACAGTTTCTTTTCACCAGTGACCTAAGATTAGACATCCCACGAGGAATTCCCTGCTGGAGAGATTAGAGCCATTGACTGAGGCGGCGTGTGACTGTCCAAATTCATTGGCAATGGTCTGTGTTAAACATCAATTCATTACGAGTTATATCTTAAGATCTCCAAATGGAGTGAATCTTTCGATTTTAAAAGTGCTGCAGATCAAATTTTATCAGGTAAATTACCCAGAAACGTGTTGCTTTTTCCTTGCTATATATAAACCGTCATCTTGTTTATTACTAGGACTACTTGACTTGCTAATAAACCTCGGCACCAAACATTTTAATAACATTTTCATCCATTTATCTCTTATCCCCGAGCACCCGAGTTTCACAGGAAGGAGACAAATGTCCTCCGTTGTATTTCATCTGCCGTATAGCGTCTGCCTGCTCTCTGCACCCTTCCACTACAGCTGGGGCACCCGTTTAATCCACTGGAACCCAACGGCCTAAAGAACAGTAAATCCAGTCAGTCCTGCCCGTATCGACTGCAATCTCAGCTCAGGGCACCTAACAACAGCAACCAAACAAAGACAAAAAAAAAGAGGAAAGAAAACAAGAGCCAACAATTGAACCGGTTGAGAGCTCAAACAAATCCAAGATAGGGCTAATCTTTGCAGCTGACCTTGTTTGTCTTCATCTACATAACCTTATCAAATGTGCCACACCAGCTTTCTGTCAGTTAAAGATCTAAGCCTGCCTTCTCAGATGCACCCTGTGATCCTTGAGCTGCTAAGTATTTATTTATATTGTTATGGTGCAAGTTGTGAACATTTGTCTGTGGCAAGGATTTCAAATCCATTTGTTGTATTAGAAGATTAAAGGCTCTAATCTCTGTGGCACAAGCCTCCGGGATTCAAAATAAGAGTTATGCGCTTGAATGTCAGAATAATTGCCCATATCTGCCTATGGAATTAGTGGAATTAGGATTTTACGAAAAAGGAAATGGTAAAATAGCCTGAATTTGTATAACGCAAGGTTCTGCGACCCGCCATGGCGTTTCACAACACAATGAATGAGCTATGATGTAGCCACAGCTGCCCTGGGGCGCACTGACAGAGGCGAGGCCTGCTGAACACATGGCGCCACCAGTCCCTCCAACCACCACCAGCAGGCAAGGTGGGAGCCGGGATCGAACCTGCAACCTTCCGATTACTGGACAACCCGCTCTACCTCCTGAGCTACTGCTGTCCCTGTCATGAAATGATCATGAGCAATGTGCTGCGTATTGATAACACAGATTTATCTGCTATTGTTATGAGATGGGGGAGGACACCCCAGTGCTGTGATCTCCTGGTTTGATGATAGGACAGTTAACGTTGCTGATGAAACGTGCATCGACTCCAATTCGACCAGATGACCATGTTTTAATGTGAAGACATTCCGGTTTCAACCAATATCACTTAGTTTTGATGCTTTGTTGGTCTTAAATTGAGCTCAAAGCTCCACAATCACAATCTTAATGTACCCTGAAGATAAGCCAATTGATCTTTTTCAGATTAGAAGTTAAATGTTCAAAGGGATCAATGGTCTGATGCAAACAGTGTAGAAAAGCACGGAAAGGAAAGATAAACAGCTGCTTACCCTTCAGTTTCTCCAGAACGCTCTGACCGGCTCTCTCCACGTTTCCGTCCTCCGTCTGGTACCGGCCATCCAGAAACTGGGCTGTAGCTTCTGACAGGTGAACCTTCCCAGCCACACCTAGCTGCTCCATCAAGTTAGCCAGATTGACATCGTTGGACCACACATCAAACTTGAAGCGTTTCATTCCCAGGATGCCACACAGAACGGTGCCAGTGTGGACACCGACACGCATGTTGACAGTCTCACATGTCTCCTGGCAGAACTGCTCGATGGCCTGGATCATGCCCAAGCCCATCTCCACGCAGCAGTAGGCGTGGTCTGGCCTGGGCTCGGGACAGCCTGCTACACAGTAGTAGCAGTCTCCAAGAGTGCTGATCTTCTCACAAAAGGTTTGTTCACAGAGTCTATCGAAGCGTCCAAACAGGTCATTAAGAAGTCCCACCAGAGCTGGTGCAGACTTGTTGGCAGACATTTTGGTGAAGCCCACAATGTCCGCAAAAAGGATGCTGACAGGGTCCATACGCTTCATGTTGAAGGGCCGAAATATCAGCTGTGCTCGGGGTATCGAGGTCTTTTTGCGTTTTTGATTGTTGTGTGGGTTATTCTTGGAGCTCATGACACTTTGGGCTTGTAGAGCTCCACCGCTTCCTCCGCCACCAACTACAACAGCTGAAGTAGAGCAAGCACCAGAGGAATATCTCTTGCCAGAATTCTCACCGCCACCCTCGTCATCACCTTGCTTCAATAGCTCGTCGGCAACTTGTCTCGGCATGACAGAATGGATCATACGCTCCTTCAAGGCTTTCTCCACCTCCAGCTCTCTTCCATGCATTATAGCTTGCCCCACTTTGAGAAATGTGCTGCGGGAGCGCACCTCTGTCATGATGAACAGGTGGATACCGATGACGTGCGCACATAAATGGAGCAGACATTTACCCGGTCCCTGCCAGAAAATGGTGTCTTCCCAACTGGACATCTGTCCATTAGAGTCATAGCTCCTCTGAAGAAACGGTAGCCAACCCAGTGCCTCGAATAGTACTGAATATAAGAGGCCCAGCATCACTGAGGCATACAGACGGACATGGAGGACGCTGTATAACAACAACAGAACCTCTATGCAGAGAGAAAAGGTGCCGACAAGAGAGATGCACGGGATCTCAGGGGAGACATTTTTGTTCAGGTGGAGATGTGAGGAATTCCCACCGCCTGCACAGTCATAGCCTGCAGTTTGTATCTGTGGAGCTAACGTGATGGCAAAGGTGATGGCTATCAAGAGCAAGGAGGTTTGGTTGTACAGCCACACATATGGCTTGGTGAAGGTGAACAGAAAGAGGAGCACCAGTAAAGTCAAAAACAAGGCAGTGGGGACAAGAAAGGCCATGGGGCAGCAGCGTTCCTTGTTGATCCCAAAGTACACCCCCCAGAGCACAGCTGCCACTGCTAGGTAGAAGAGGACATAACGAAATCGTCGCTGTGTTTGGGGAAAGCAACTCTCTTGGCACGCCTCTTCCAGGATGGGGGAGTCAAACTTGGGGTCCCAGCACTGAGCTGCAGAGCGTTCAAACAGCGGAGGGGCTTTCCTTTTCACCCTAGAGGTGGAGGTCGTGGCTGGTCTGACGTCTGCAGAGCTGGAACTGGAGGAGATGCTGTATTTGTGGAGGGTAGGATTCACTTTATTGGCGGCCCCACAGCTTCTTCTTCCTCCTCCTCCTCCTCTTCCTGCGTCACTGTTGGCACCCCGAAGTGGCTCATGTTGATGCGTGCGTGACGAGTTATTGGCAATGCGCACAGTTACGGCTCCATCCCCGCCGGAGTCGCAGCTCACCTCAGTGCCCTGCATAAGAAGCTGCCGGTGGTGTTGCAGAGTGGCCATGTTGACTCTGATTCGACGGAGTGCAACAGAGGTGTTAAATAGCAATAATTTCTTTTGATGGTGGAAATCAGACACCGTGCACGCGCGCTGCGTGAGTGCGAGAGGCGCGGATTGGAGGAAGGAGGCGACGATGATGGACTGACAAAACAGGCATAGAGGGAGGGGGGAGCAAAAGGTGCATGAATGGTGAGCACGGCACAGACGAGTCGGCTACGCACAAGCAGCCTGCACACACACACACACACACACACACACACACACACACACACACACACACACACACACACACACACACACACACACACACACACACACACACACACACACACACACACACACACACAAACTGTTAGTTTCTGGAGCTCACCACCATCCGACCCTGGGTTTTTGCGTCATCGCTCACATCACACGCATCTGTGTCCAAACAGGCTCAGGTTATGAGTCCAGCTTTCTCTCCAGCTGCGGTTAAAACGCTGTCATCACCCTTCCTGCCTGCAGAGTGGAGCATCCTTCTGGGAAAGGACTGATTAGTGATGCGACTGCTTTTCTTAGTCAAGTCCGCGCTGACGTTGGAAACGGCTGCCAATTATCTCATCTGGATGGCGGCAATGTTTTGATCCATCCCAAAGTCAGAGGGAATGAGCCAATTTCTCCCGTTGTGATTAAATAAAATAGTTTTTTAAATAAAAACAGGAGCTCAATGTTTCACTGTGGGAACTGACTGAAGCTGTCAACAGTTGTGCACAGCAGTGAGGCTGCGAAAGTAATCCGTTATAACATGGACAGATGCCCAATTTACACCCCTTCGCTCCACTGACCCCAGACTGTTAATTATGAGCAATAAAAACAGGTGGATTTTACCTTTTTTCTCATTCTAAACGACTTATTTTAAAATAGATCATTCTGAAGCAAACTAACTGTTTTTCTTGAATAGTCACTCTGTGTGATGGTTTTACAAAATGTAAGAGTTTTACCAGGTAAAACCGGAGAGAGCTGTTACGGCAATTAATTAGAAAGTGGCTGATCTATAATTAAATCGGCTTTACCTCCCACTACATCCAAGCATGGCTCAGTGCGTGAAGGCTGTCCAACTCTTATACTCAGACATTCCCATGCCATTTTTTTATTCAAAGCAGAATTCTGAAGAGGAAGAAAAAAAGACAGTTATTTTGGAGCCATGTCCAGCTCATGACCCAAATCCTGAAGAGGCCCGACAGGCAGGCCTATTCCCACGGATGCAGCCCCGTCCTTTCCTGAACTCCCTCTCCGGATCTCCACTGTTTATTTCCCCCCACCCTCTCTCCGCTTCCCAAAGTGGGGCTCCGAGAGGGGGCAGTCCTAATCAACAAGCCGCGATCCGACAAGACAAGAGCAGAAAATCCCATCCACTGTCAATCTTTTAGCGTGGCTTTACCTCCGCTGGGAGTGTCTGCAACTTGTTGCGCGCAGTTGGCAAAACATTCAGCCTCGGTCAGAACAGGCTCCGCTATAAATAGTTATGATCAAAACTCTTGCAAAAACCACCACCGGCAGCATGAAAAGGAAAAAAAAATATGGTTTTCTTCAACTTTTTCTCTTGCACATAAAACAAGGGTTAATATGTTAGAAGTGGGGAAAAAATTACAAAAAAACGCATCCAGAGCGTCAACGATAGGCCCCCTCTCGTCTCCAAAGACTCCAAAACTTTTTTTTTCCTTTCCAGGCCGTATTTCCTGCGTTTGGAGAAGAGAGCCACCAGTTAGGAGTCTCTGCTTATTGGGAGCCGAGGCTGGATTTCCTCCCCTCGCATTCCCCCAGAGCAAAGCAGGAGAAAATCCTCAGAGCCGCGCCGGAACTCCCTTGGAATCCTAAAACCCGCTCCTTATCTCCTTGTCGCAGCCAATTCCTCAGGTCTGAGTAGCTCTAGTTTTCGCTGGCACGCATGTGTCCAACAAACACAACACCGTGCGCTCCGGCGGCGGTGCGTCCCCTTCCGTCCGTCGGCGGATTGCCTCCCTTTCACCCCTACAGCTCCCAAACGGAGTCGGGGTCTGAGCGCGCACACAGCGTCGGGTTTACGGTTGTTTTCTTCTTCTGTAGTTCGTCACTCTTGTAATTGCCACCATTTTCCTGGTGACTGGGTCGGAAATCCTTCCCCAGCTGTTGTGACGGAGCGGGTTGGTGGGAGCAGCCAGGCAGGCGGTAAAGTTACTCCAAATAAGGACAAACGCCGCTTCCGGTTGCGTCTTCAAGACGCACCCTGTCATTTTGGGGCAACATTGTTTGTAAAATGACAGATTAAACGGAGAAGGCATCTAAACAGCTTCACGCGGTGTTTTATCAGGTTGTCCTGGGTTGCATCATTCATTTAATGTCTCGCTTAAAGCCTTACAACTGTAATAGAGCGTAAATAAAGAAATACAATCTCATTTATTTTAATTCAAACCAATGTTAGCTGTAATAGACGTACGTCACGGACTATATCATCATCATCATCACCATCAAAATTGCCCACATTTTTGTAAAATTAAAGTGAGTTATTCGAACAGTTTAGTGCTTTATTTTGAAGGCAGACTTTGACTTCCGGTGCTTACCCGTTGTTCAAGTGTAGCTTAACAGCTAGTGGTGAATAATGGAATTAGCCTCATCCATATTTTAACTTCTATGTATTTATATTTTCCACCCTATAGTTGTTACTGCTGTCTGTGTCCACCAGTTTACATGAGACAACTGATACTATAATAATAATGATAATAATAACAATAATAATAATAATACTAACAACAATAATAATTATAATAATAATAATAATTATTATTGTTGTTGTTGTTAGAAAAGTATAGAATAGAATAGACAGCACAAACAGTTAGAGAATAATTCGAAGAAATTATAACAAAAGTACATGTGTATACACATATGCAGTAAGATATTATTGTAACCTTCAACCAAGAAAAAAAAATTAAACTTGGGTTCCAGAAATACACAGGGTATGTTAGGGACACAGACATACTATGTAAATCCGGTATTGCACAAGTATTGAACACATACTGAGTATTACAGTGATGTTATTGTGTAACAGGATGAAGCTAGTACAGCTTAAACTGAGGAGTTATACACTTACTGCAGAGGAGATGAAAGATCTACATCTGGGATGTCTAAGTCTGCCTCTGAAGGAGCTGTTCATGCTCTCTGTGGAACACAGTGGGTGGGAGGTTTTTTTTTAGATGGGGATCTTCTTCACCACCATCCTCCTTTCACACTTCTCAGCTGAATCCAATAGGAAGCCCAGAACCGAGCTAGCTTGTTCAGTCTTTTTCTCTCTCGGTCAGACCTGCATGCAGCCCAACAGACCGCAGCAGGGTGGATAACAGAGCCAACCACAGTGCAATAAAAGGATTTTAGCAGGTTGGAGTTAACTCAGAAGGACCTCAGCCTCCTCAGGAGGTGGAGGCGGCTTTGGCCCTTTTTATCCAGAACGTCTGTGTTGTTGGACCGGTTCAGTTTACTGTTGAGGTGAACACCCAGGTACTTAAAGGTATCCACCACCTCAATGTCTGCTCCCAGGATGTTTACTGGTGAGTGAGGAGGAGTGCTTCTCTGGAAGTCAATCACCATTCCTTTGTTTTAGTGGTGTTCAAGCAAAGGTGGTTATGCTCACACCAGTCCACAAAGTTCACGATGCCTGACCAGTACTACTGGTCATCCCCCCCCCCACACACACACACACACACAAAGCCGACAATGGCCAAGTCATCAGAGAACTTCTGGAGGCGATAGCTTCTGGTGTTGTAGGTGAAGAGAAAGGGTGAGAGCACTTTACCCTGTGGAGCTCATTTACTGCACACAACCACCTCAGACTTACAGTTGTGTAGCCTCACATACTGTGGCCTGTTGGTAAAGTAGTTGATGGTCCATGCAGTCAGATGTTTGTCCACTCTTGCACCCCTCATCTTCTGCTGCAGTAGACACGGCTGGATGGTGCTGAAGGCACTTGAGAAGTCTAAGAACATGATTCTCACAGTGCTTTTCTGCATCTGGAGGCGAGTCCGAGCCTGGTGGTGTATGAGCACATCCTCCACCCCCATGTTTGGTTTATGTGCAAATTACAGAGGGTCTTTTTCTGGGCTCACCACTGAACATCGATGGGTGAGGATGAGTCTCTCTATGGTCTTCATCACATGGCAGGTCAAGGCAACTGGTCTGTAGTGGTCTGGTTCTCTGGGATGTGATGTTTTGGGAACAGGAACAATGCAGGAGGTCTTCCACAGGATGGGGACCTGATCCAGCCGAAGGCCCAGGATGAACATGTGCATGACTGCTTCACAAAGCTGGTCAGCACCGTCTGAGCAGCCTGGGGCTGATCTCACAAGGACCTGCAGAGGAATAAGCAGTTTAGATAATGAGTGAGAATATTTGTTGTCTGTTTTATTAACAAATCTTGTTTTATATGATTATCTTGTGTAATGAAATGGTTGATCATCTCTCTTTCACATTTCTTCAAAGTCCATTTAAGGAGCTCTGTGGATCCTCCTCAGGCTCTCGTTTATTAAGTCGTGCATGAAATCCGTAATAACCCCTCTTCCAGGGAACGACTTCCCAAACAGAGTTATCCTGCTGTGGTGTGAGTTTATGAAAAATGTGGTTTTCACACAAAGATGCAGAGTTATCCAAACTACATGCTGTGTTTCCATTTATTAGAAATGACGGGTCTGGGCTCTGTTAGTATTTTATGAAGTGTTAAAACACACTTATGTTGTTTGCAGAGAGCTCAAATGGCTCAAATGCCTAGTAAAAAGTTAGAAAAAAAAGGAAAATGCATTATTTATCATTCAGAGGATGAGTAACAAAATGTATTATTTAGATTTTCCAAAAGAAAACAAAAAATGTCCCTGTTTGTGTAACTGTAAACGGTGATTTAGAACGGGGAGTAAATATAAAGCCAGTAAACACGGTCATAAAGGTTTACTGTGCTGATTCAGTCTTTATTCCTCTTTAAACACGACATAAGATAACGTTTATGAGTTAAATTCCACCTGTGCATCGTTTTAGTTGGTGTTAGTGACCGTGGCGTGTGGGTGGCGTGTTCGTACTTTAGTTCAAGAGCTAATGAGGGAGGGCTGTTTGAGGAGTTGATAAAGCCTGGTTGATAAGCCCGAGGAGCATGGTGTGTTAGCTCTGGCAAACACAGACTACACACACTCAAACACATGTTTGAAGATTTATTACACATGCACAATCCGTGTAGAACAGGAGCATGTGTGGGAACGAATGAAACTCCCTGCTTTGAGTTCAGCATCGTCAGCAGAAACAACGAGGAAAAAATCTAACATGAATCAAGAATGAGATCCTGGACAGAAGAAGCTGAAGGGTGGGAGGTTTAGATCAGGAGCTTGGTTCTATGGGTGGAGCTCAGAGCAGAGCCGCTGCTCTTTCTTATCAAAATCTCTCATCTGAGTTGGTTTCAGGCCTCCTGGCTGCTTCCTTCTGGAGGTTTTTTTGTGCACTTCCCACAGGGAGGAGACTCAGAACTCTCCTTTCTGGTCGGGGAACTCCATGAGATCCCTCAGGAGGAGCTGGAGAGTTCAGCTGGGAAGAGAAATGTTTTGGCCTTTAAATTTACTCTTCTATCAGCACAAAAATGTCTTGATGCTTTTTATTGTAATACAAGAACAAAATAAGCAAATCTACATGATAACCTGTGACATCACTTTATTTTGAAGTAATGCTGAGCAGTTTTCCGCTCCGCTGCCCTACTGGTTGAAAGAGGAAGTACAACGGTCATAAACAGCCTGCTGTAGCTATCGCTAACAACGAGCTAACACTAACATAAGCCAACTAATACTAAAATAAACCACAAAGTAAAAAGATCCACACAGTTGGGCAAAACATATCATTACTTACAAGTCCTGAAGCAACAAAGCCAGGTCATCATCGGTCCGTGTTTTTGTAGCGTCCTATAGCTCCCTCAAACTAATGTAGGCCGTGCCGATGTTCACTCCGGTTTTAGTGATTTGCTGCACCTCCAAAGGCATTGCTCTCTTACTTTTACTTCCAGGCTCTGCTATAATGCCAACAAAATAAGTGTTTTTTTATTGATGATTGGCAAATTGAAAAAGCTAACTACTAGCATAACAGCTAACAGGCATAGCGCACCTACCCCCTACACAAACAGTGCCGCATCAGAGGGCTGTAGAGAGGTGTCAAATATGAAAATTGTCAAGTTTCTAACTCAACAATGACTGAGATCAATGTTAAAGCTCTAGCTTAATGTTTGAATAACTTTTAGTGTTATTTTAAACAGAAATAAGTTGCACTATAAAAAATTTGAAGCCATTATTCATGAGAATTTTTTTTTACTTTACTGAGACTCATTTCTACAGTAATTTAAGTCATTATAAACAATTAAACTAATAATTAGTCTTTTGCATCACTAATAATGTTTGTTTTGCACTACATATAAAATGGAATAATCTAAAACATGTTCATCTAATGCGCTCAGGTAAGTAGTTTCATTTGTATTCATGATTTGGTCATTTTAAAGTCGTTTATTTTCTCTGCCTGTTTTGAATAAATAGTCTCTTTATTTAACTTTGTGTAACACATCCTAGTGTATCTGGTGTCAGGTGACAGTAATTATTAGCTATTGTGTGACTTTTGTTTAATGGGAGCATCTTCAGATGTGAAGTGTACCATAAACCACAAGATAATGCTGATACATTTCTCTGTACAGAGTTTACTTGATGAATAATTTACACCCAGTTCTTTTATTACATCTGCTGGTGACTTATTTCTGCAGTCAGTATGTTATGTTCCTATGAGAGCTTCAGACTTGTTCAGACATCATTTTCCTTGAATGCAAGCTAAATATTTTCCCACACAGTCCAATAACACAGAGCTAACAAATACTCTTAACATCAGAAGTAGCTTTTCAGAATTGATTTCATACCGTTTTAGGTAAAAATATGATGACGTTTGAGTTTTATTCCGGCACATTTACTGGTTTATTGTTTTTAACTGGAATTTAATGATTTAATTGTAATAAAAATTGGCTTTTGCAAAGAAATTCAAAACCTCTCTGTTAGTGGAGCAAACACACTGAACTGAAGCGCCACCTGGTGTCTGCTTTTAGTCACAGCAGAAAGGAATCAACCAGCAAATGTCAAGAAAAAGTCTTTATTTTGAAGTTTTGGGGGCTTGTAGCTTTTTTACACATTCAGCCATGTTTTAGAACTCACACAACACTCTGATTTTGTACACAAACACTTAATTCTGTCTTATTTTAGGCTGAAAGCAAATCTTATCCAGCATTTAGAAGGTTTACAAAACGTTGGCACTGCTTTAGACCAAGCAACATGGATTTAGAAAAGACTGCTAATTAAAGACGATTACTGGTCTGTTTTTGTTTTTATTGCATAAAACAAGACGTTGATGAACAGAGCTGTAAAACGGACAAAGAGCAGTTTTAAAAGCTGACGATTTTTCCATTTTGTCGAGTAGGAGCTGGTTTTAGGCGGGACACTGCAACAGTTTAGCTTCAATTCTATTCAGTTTGCTTATAAATGAGAGAAAATGTTAAACTGAAATCTGTTTCTGCAGTTAAGTTGTGGCTGAAAGAAAACAGTACCTCTGATACAAACAGCTGAAGAAAGCTTTGTCTAGAGCTTGAAGCAGAGCCAATGCTCCTCCTCATCAAAACGGGTCACCTGAGGGGATCCAGGTAGCCCTTGTCTGGAGGTTTGGGGGCACGTCCCACTGTGAGGAAACCTCAGGGCAGACCCAGAACTTTCCTACAGGTTTACATATCCTCTCTGGAACCGGGGTCCCTCACGAGGAGCTGGAGAGAAATGTCTGGGCTTCCCTCCCAGACCTGTTGCTGACCCGGACTTGGATGAAAGATGGAAAACGGATGGATAGTCAAAACAGTAGTAGATCATTGTGGCGTATCCAATAACATGTAAAAATATAGAAATCTAACACAAAGCCAGCTCCATTGTCTTGATTTGAACGCACTGATATGAATCCGCTCTGCTTTTAGGGACGTGGCATTATGAGTCACAGCATCTTAGACCGACTCTTACTCGACCAATGGTGATAGAGTTTCCTTCATCCCAGAGGGTGGTTGGTTAATGGTAACGAAGGGAATAAAGGACAATCAACAGCAGCATACAGGAAACGATCACTGTCAGATTTCATGAGTTACAGAAAATAAACAAGTTGCAAATTCATATTTAGACATCAAACGTGTTCCAGATAGGTAGTTGTGCATTCACATGAAGGTATCAGAAGTTCTGTCCGTTTGGTAAATTCAGCACATTCATGTTTTTGTGCCACTTTTCTACTGATTAAATCTGTCTTTCTGCCTGGAGCCAGTTCTGAAATCCACACCGGTGGAGAGCTTTCTCAGGAAACCCTCTGGCTGCCATCTGGCTCCTCCTTTCCTCCTCCTGTACCCGTACCCCTTCCGTCTCACTGCCTCCTCCAGCGGTTCTTAGGTTTCTCTTCACACTCAGGGCCCTCGCATGTACCTGGCAGCAGTGGAGGGGGCGCTGGCGTGACCTTCACGGGGACGGGCGTGTCTGAGCTGACGCTGCTGAGCAGAGCAGGAAGCTCGTGTGAGATGGCCTTCTCTATCTTCTCGAGCAGACAGCCACCGGTCCAGCTGCAGTGCTGCGAGAGCTGCTTGAAACCAGAAACTGGGTTGACTCCGAAGAAGTCCTCATAGGCCTCCTTGTCGGGCAGGTCGAACTTGCTGACGTTGGTTTTGGCCAGAATGGACTTGAAGATGTAATACTTGTCTGGGTCATTCACAATGTCTCGGAAAATTTCATGGGGGTCACCAAACCAGCCCAGCTTGTCGTGGTAGGTCTGAAGGTACCGGTCCACTAGCAGGGCGTGGATGCGCACGCGGATGGCATGCTGACGGATGAAGGCGATTTTGTTCTCTATCTGATTCTCGATCACCTGCAGAAACAGAAATGAGATTCAAAGAAATAAAGATGGAGACAGAAATACCTAAAAAAGGATTAACTGGGTGGTTTGGATGACGATGAAATACTTCAGTGGCGCCTCGATTACAACGAGACAAAAAGGGAAGTCAAACATCTGGCAGCAGTATCTAGTAGAAGCATCACTTTTACCTCTGCACCCAGACCAGTCCAGCTCCAAACATAACCCTAAAACAAGAGAACGAGACGCACCTGGTTCAAGTCCTCCAGCAGAGAGATCTCCTCCTTCATGAAGAGCTCTCGGCTGGTGTCTGCAGCATACTCCTGAGGCCAGAAGGAGCTGACGTAGACCCGCGGGGGCTCTGTGACGTTCACCAGTGGCGCCATGCTCCAGAACAGGGCCCCGTAAACCCTCATCAGGTCCTGGGTGGAGACGCTGTCGGCCTTGTTGAGGATGAGGCGAATCTGGGACTCGCGGCCTTTCATCTGCCCGAAGAGCATCTCCAACTCTCCTCCCACATCCAGCTTGGTGGGGTCGAACACCAGGAAAATGAGATCAGCTCGGTCTATGAACCACTGGCACACCTCATTGTAGGGGTAACCTGCAGAAACGGCTGTTACAGATGGTCCTGAAGAGAGATTTTTATCACGAGGGCACAGACGCGTTCCTGTCACCTCTCTCTTGCTGCTTGCGGTTTTCAATGATGCCTGGCGTGTCGACGAAGGTGACCCTCTCCAGCAGCTTGTGGGACATTTCGATGCCCACCAGTTTCTCCAGGAAACCCTGACCAAACTTCTCCAGGGGAGAGAAGGGCCGAGAACTGTCTGCTGCCATGACGATGCCCTCGATGGTTCGAAACTTGTCACCGTGCATGGTAACCGTGTATTCAGATGTGGTGGGTTCAGCGCCTGGTGCACCGATGAAGGAATCAGGTCTCATTTTTCTTACACTGTCAGAAAAAAACAAACAAACAAATATGTGCAAACCTGTGTAGAGTTCCTGCTGGGTTCCATGGAGACCGAGCAGGTAGTTGATCATGGAGGACTTGCCAACGCTCCAGGGTCCCAGAAACAGAACCATGGGTTTAGAGGTGATCTCACCATCTGAAAGCGTGTCAAAAGGGAAGAATAGGATTCAGAATAATGACAATTATAAAGTATTTAGTCATTTTTATAGAAATGAAAATTTGAGTGAAGATTTGTCGTAATTTTATAAATAAGAAATGTCATTGTTTTTTATTTTGTTGGTGAACTTATCACATGCTAAAATTACTAAGCAGAATACGTATGCATACGGGTATGGACGAATTCTGACAATAATCTCAAATTTTTGTTTTTTTTTTCTCTCAAAAGTCAAAAAGTCAAAATTCTGAGAAAAAAGTCAGATTTTTTCCTTCTCGGTGGCCCTAATCCTCTTCCATATCTGAGAAAGACTATGGCCTTAATCTGCTGGGGAGATTTTATACATTTTATTGTTTTACAATGTTTCACACGTTTATTTAAATAGGATTAAAATGCAAATGGAATGAAAGCCTTTTAAGTCGTTCTCGGGGTAAAGATACATCAGTGCACCACTTCTTAGAGCTAAACATTTCCCACATCACAGCTGAGCTTCAGATGGCAGGTTTTAGGTTTTATTTCCTGATATTTGACGTTTCTCACCCCAGATTGGATGACAGCAACGTAACTCTTACTTGCAACGTTGATGTTTTTTCTCTACAAATGACACAGGTGGAGGACATTCTGATGTGTGGTGAAGTTGCCAATGCTAACGGTTAGCTTAAACTAGCCGAGGCATCCGCTGCTGTTTCCAGGACGTTAAAACAACAACAGCCTTCGCCGTCGTGAGTCATGATGGGCGTTCCATAAATGCTAATTCACAGTGTGACGTAGATCTTTCAGGATTTTCAAATCCTAGAGTTTCTCCGTCTATTTTCTATCAGAAGGTAATGTAGGAGACTATTTTCATGTTCAGCCTGCATGAAGAACTCAGGCCTAGTCCACACGTAGCCGTTTTTTTTTTAAAAAACGAATATCCGCCCCTCCAAAAACTTGCATCCACACCACCTTGTTTTAAAAAAAACTCTGTCCACACGTACCCGGATAAATACGTTGTTAAGGACATGCCAGACCTGTAGGCTGCAGTACTTCCCCCGTTCTTAACCTCGTCCTTCGTCTGTGGTCTTCCGCAAGGAGCAGTAATTCCGCTTGCAAAAACAAACAAGCAGAAAGCGCTTGGACAATTGATAAAGCGAGCGCAGCTCTGAGGACATCCATGCTGTCGGCTAGTGTAAACACAGGTCGCACACGTGATGTCAGCATTTTTTTGTCGCGGAAAGTGACGTTGCGGACCTTAAAACTCCGGTTTTGTCCGTCCACACGCAGACACCCAAAACGGAGAAAACACAGATCTTCACTTTGGCCGGAGTTCTTAAAAAGATCCGTTTTCGTGTGAAAAAACTCCGTTTTCGTGTGGATGACAGGCCAAAACGTAGAAAAATGTCTACGTTCTGGCAGATCCCCGGCTACGAGTGGACAGGGCCTTAGTGACCAATTATATCAGAAATAACATTTAAAAACATGATTTTATGAAGCCAAATGTCTCAAAAGTATAGGATTTTAAGTTTCTCTGTCCATTTTTGGATCTCTGAGTGTCACGACTAATGATGCCAGGATCAGAAAACCAACATTTGATTTTCTTCGGGCGGTCATGTACTTTTCTCCAGCTCCACAAGGCGTCCCAGTCCCAAAGCCCTACTGCTGCTCTGCCCTCTGGTGCTTGGGAACGTGTGTGCCTGGCCCCGCATGAAGTTCCCTTCAAATTTCAGCAAACAGAGACTTTATTGTTCTTCTCCATTTGCCTGGTTAGAAAAATCTGAGCATCCTGGCTCCGAAGTCGGTCCTAGTTATGATTAGAAACGACTTTGTGCTTCACGGTTTCCATCCAGTTCCACTTCATTAAACTGCATGTTTTCAACAATGTGGGCCACAGGAGCACGCGGTTTGTGTTGTTTTCCTCCACAGGAAGCGGACACACACACCAACCTGTAACTTCATGCTGCCTGAGCTCGTTGTACTTAAAGGCCTGCTCCATGGGTTTGATGGCTGTGTGGTAGATGTTCAGCAGTTTCTTTATTGCACCTGCACACAGAAAATCAAAGAGAGACTCATGACAAACGCTGCTTCCGCTGCACATGATGAGTTACCCTCATAAAGTTTTACCATATGGAGCTGAGATAATTAACAAACCGGCTTTGCTGCAGCCCAGCAGAACAGAGGGGCTTTCATGTCGGGAGCAGATACACATTTACACCAATTAATCACCCTCCTGCACACACTCACGTACAGTCGTACAGTACGTGCGCTCATGCAGGGGCCTCGGATCTGGACATCAGGAAGTCATTTTCAGAATAGTTTCAGCTCAGAAACCCCTTAAAGCGGCTTCAAGCTTTTCTTTCATTGGTTGCAAAACACATCTGGTTTTCTTTTGGATCGACAGAGTAGGTGTAAACATTCTGATGCCTTTTTGTTTTAGCACACAAGTGCAGGCATTTCCGCTACAGACGTCCAGGAGACAGCCGGAGACGGACCAGTCTGATGTGTTTTATTGGCTCTAATGGCGTGTGGTTGATTGTTCCTCACCAGTGTACTCTGCTGAGGGCTCTGCAGTCGCCAGCCGCAGCATGTCTTCGATGTGGGAGCGGTCCCTCAGGCCTGAGCCGATTGTCTCTGTGTGTGAAATAAAAAAAAAAATAGTGAGTCAACTTTTCAGCTTAAAAGCCCAAATCCACCTGTCATGCTTTCCTGTATGAGGGTCTGTTTGTAACGTTGTACTTGATAAAAGGTACACGTTACCGTATTTTAGCACTCAATAACTATAACACACACACATAAAAAAACATTTCACCACATTCACATAGAAAACTACAGAAATAATCTAGATGAGATTTACATATGTAATTCATTTTTAATGTAGCATTACTACCTAAAATATAATTCTAATGTAAACATGAATTATTATGATCAAAAACTACTCCTACAACTAATAATAATTATTATTTATTTTTATTTGTTATTATTATTTCTATTACTATTATTATTATTATTGAGGATTATTTTCAACCTGCTTCATTTAGATTTAGATTTCAATATTAAAATCTCACTATGTAAATTTTAATATTTAGATTTGACTTTGCAACTATTTAAGCATGTTTCATTCTAAAGATGTGTTTTAACATTCTTCTTCTTCTTCTTCTTCTTCTTCTTATTATTATTCTTATTCAAAGCTAAAAACAGCTAACTTTACAATCAACGCTCCATATTTCTGAGGAACATTAACCAGATTTTAAAGTGTGAAATTTGTGCAAATAAAAGTGCAAAAATGATCACCAAAGTCCTTGATGAGCCGTGAGTGACCAGGCCAGCTGGACCCAGCACTTGTCCAACTCTTAAATCATCCTGTTGTCCATTAATCAGTCTCCCTGTTTCACTGCTATTTCAGTCCCTTTATTTCTGTACCAGAGCTTGTTGCTAATTCCTGTTCAACACCGTGTCGAATTCTGCAGGTTTGACGTGTCCAGCGGCGACAGAAAAGTAAATGTTTGCTCTTGATTGCTCAGTTTAATGTTCAACAATGAAAGTCTAACCAGAGATTTAGTGATTTCATCTAATAGTGATGAATTCTAGGAGAAAAATAAGTGACTTGAGATTTTGTTTGGTAACTTTAGACGAAACTTCTCTTGTCTGATGGACAAAATGCTGAGAAATCAACTGTTGAGATTGGCCAAAAGATGATCTGAGAAATAACCAAACTTTAGTAAGAGTCTATATTGTAGTATTTTGGGTCACAAATAAATATTTAAACAAATTTTAATTTGAGTTCAACCACTTTTTTGATCAAACTGTTTTTGAAGTAACAAAATGAAAAAGTCATAATACTATAAATAAAAAGTAGTTAAAGAGACATTTTTTTAAAGAAATAAAAAGTAAAAATCTGTGTTTTTCTGCCAAAAACACAAATCTCTGACTTTACATTATGTAATTATTTTATTTGTTTTATTTATTTATTTATTTATTTATTTTAAATGTTTTTTGCTGAAAACAGACAGAGATCATTTTAATCATTTGTTGCAGCACGTGTCTTCATCTGGAGACCCCATGGAGGTAATCTCATCAGTAGCATCATCATGTGTGAAAATGTAAGATTACAGAGGAAAATCATGTACCTTTGTCTTGAGACTGTCCAGGTTCCTCATCAGAAGCTTCAGGGTTCTCCTCTGACGTTTCCATTTCCACATGTTCTACAGATTCTGGTTGGACTTCCTCCACTGAAGGTTCATTTTCCTCTGGTTCTGGGTCAGGCCCAGGCGTCAGCTCTGGTTCTGAAAACACTTCCGGTTCTGTTTCTTTGGGTTCAGGCTCTGGTTCAGGAAGCTCAGCTGTGTCTGGTTCAGTTTTAGTTTCTTCATCCTCCTTCTCCTCAGCATCTGTAATTTCTCCAACCTCCACAGTGGCATGCTCTCCTGGTTCCTCTAGCAGCGCTTTATCTTTTGACTCCATCATTTCTTCATTAGAAACTGATTCAGATTCTTCTTTGGCAGGTAAATCCTCCAGGTCTTCTCCCTCCCCTTCCAAAAGTTTATCCTCATCTTCCTCAGACCCAACTAAAGTCTCCTCCTCTTCCTCAGAATCTTCTACACTTTGATCCTCCAATGAATCATCTTCTGCCTCAGCTTGTTCCTCAGATGCCCCCTCTTCATCCTCCTCCTGCTCTTCTCCTTCACTTACAACCACCTCAGAAGAAGACTCATCTTCGAGTGGAGGTGCTCCTTCCTCCTCGTGCTCTTCTTCAGCAGCTGCTGGGGCTTTGCAGGGCTGGCATGCGGCCTTCTCGGGAGCCGGTGTGTCATTGGAGGAGGTCTGGCTGGCGTCCGTTGAGTCACATCCACAAGAGAAAAGGTCTCCCTCTGGTTGCTGGAGCTGCAGATGCATCAGAGGCTCCTCATCATGGACGGAGGGCTCTGCAAGGAGGTGTAGAAGAACGAAAGTAGAAGAAATCTAATGAGCAAAATAAGATTTTAGAGTAAAACGGAACAAACAGAATCCCTTTCTCTGTACTGTTTGGTTGAAAATATCAGAGTCAAACTTTGATTTCTGGATGTTTTGTGGTGATGTGTCTGTGAACCTTCCACCTGCAGCATTTCTGATAGCCTCCGTTGTCAGGACAACGTCCCGCTTGTCAACACGGGAGAATGAGACGGGATGCAGCAGAATACCAAACAAACTGACTCGTGTTAAAGGTCTGAGTGGAGTCTGCTGATCTTTAGATTGAAATGAGGTCCGTTTGCTTTCTAGTGTCGCGTCGAGAGGATTCGGTGAACTGATCTGATTCAGCCTCGTCTTCATGAACAATAATTATTTTATCACATCTGTCAGAGCCAGCTGGGAGAGTCTCACCTCGAACGGGATCAGTGTTTTTCCACAGATGACAAAACGACTCTTAAAACAAGACAGTAATGAGCTGGAACGCACTAACAGATCTGTAACTCAGCGCCTTGGGCTTCCTGACAGGGTTGCGGAAGGCGCTTTATAAATAAAGCTTTGATTTGATTTGATTTGAACTCTATTTTCCATTTTTATGCTTTGTTTCATCCTAACCAGTCACATATTTTCTCCTTCCTTGTTGCACCAATAAAATTCTCAGTCAGCTTGTTTTTTTTTTTTTTGTGATCAGCTTTGGTTACATTTAATCTATTATAGGAATAAACATATTTTATTAAAAGCTACCAGCAGAGCAAACGTTCAGATTTCAGCTCCGATCGGCATCAAACTCAGTCATTCGTTTATCACAAAGCAGGGGACTCGGAGTTCCTCCACACGGGGGCTTGTTCACTACTACGGTGCTCAAAGAGCACAAGTTTGTGACCTGTAATAAAGAAGGAACACACAGTGGGACACGGTGTGACGTGAGACGTTTAAATGAATGGTGACGGTTCGTGTTACAGGATGGACTCAGTGTAAAGGACAAAGATTAAAAGGCAGGTGTCTCAAATGTCAGATGTTCACCAACAACCTAATAAAATGTTGTTAGTTGTGGAGTTAACACTTTAATTCCCAACTGTAATCTAGTGGAGGTTCAGGCTTTATCGATTGATTTCTAATAAATTTAGCTGAGGATAGATAGATAATAGGGGAGTAAAGTGAAGTGTTTTATAGACGATAAATGAGCCGCACTTGCATAGCGCCTCTCAGAGTAAGGACTCCAAAGCGCTTTACACTACTGTGTACCATTCATCCATTCACACACACATTCACACACTGATGGTGATGAGCTACGATGTAGCCACAGCTGCCCTGGGGCGCGCTGACAGAAGCAGGTTTTAACCCCTTAAATATCCAGGTTCCATGAACACAACAGGGTTTTATCCCATGGGCGGGATGCTGGAATGCTTAATCACAGTTTTAATGTACTTTTGTATCTTATTGTATTGTTTTATTTAATATTATTTAATTTCATATGAAATAACTTCACATCCTGTTGTATTGTAATTAATGGTTTAAAATTACACCATGTTGTATAATTGTATCGTTTAATTATTTCATTTTGAAACATTTCTTATTGCAGATCCATCCATTTTCATCCACTTATCCGGGGTCGGGTCACAGGGACAGCAGCCTGAGCAGGAAGGCCCAGGCTTCCCTTTCCCCAGCCACTTGGACCAGCTCCTCTGGGAATCCCAAGGCACTCCCTGACCAGCCGAGAGACATAGTCCCTCTCGGGTCTTCCTTTAGGTCTCCTCCCAGTTGGACGTGCCTGGAAAACCTCACCAGGAAGGCATCCTAACCAGATTTGTGAGCCACCTGAACTGGCTCCTCTCGATGTGGAGGAGCAGTGGATCAACTCCAACCCCTCCTGGAGGACCGAGCTTCTCACCCTACCTCTAAGGGAGAGCCCAGACACCCTGCAGAGAAAACTCATTTCAGCTGCTTGTATCTGTGATCTTGTTCTTGTAGTAACGACCCAACGCTCGTGACCACAGGTAAGGGTAGGAACGTAGACCGCCTTCTGGCTAAGCTCTCTCTTTACCTTGACAGATGGGTACAACGGCCGCATCACTGCAGATGCAGCGCCGATCTGCCTATCGATCTCACGCTTCATCTTTCCCTCACTCGTGATAAAGACCCAGAGATACCTAAACTTCTCCACTTGGGGCAGGATCCCATCCCTGACCCGGAGAAGGCATTCTACCCTTTTCTGACCCAAGACCATGGTCTCGGAGCTGATTCTCATACCAGCTGCTTCACACTCACTGCTCCAGCGAAAACCGGCGATCACGTTCTAATGAAGCCAACAGAACCTCATCATCTACAAAAAGCAAAGACCTGATCCTTAGGTCACCAAAACACAGATGATGTCATCATATATATATTGTGTGTATTCACCTATTTCAATGTATAATGTGTCGTGGCACCATGGCATCACATCGTATTACATTGTTTAGTATTGCATTGTCATGTTATATAGCATCACTGTATTGTGCTGTATCATATTGTACATTGGTTCTCGACCGGAAAAGGGTGGCTTGCCACCTCCGGGTCGGGGGAGAGGTCCTACCTCAAGTGGAGGAGTTTAAGTATCTCGGGGTCTTGTTCACGAGTGAGGGTAGGAGGGATCGGGAGATCGACAGGCGGATTGGTTCGGCGTCTGCAGTGATGCGGACGCTGAGCCGATCCGTCGTGGGGAAGAGGGAGCTGAGCCAGAAAGCCAGGCTCTCGATTTACCGGTCGATCTACGTCCCAATCCTCACCTATGGTCATGAGCTTTGGGTAATGACCGAAAGAACGAGATCGCGGATACAAGCGGCCGAAATGACTTTCCTCCGTAGGGTGGCCGGGCTCAGCCTTAGAGATAGGGTGAGGAGCTCGGACATTCGGGAGGGACTCGGAGTAGAACCGCTGCTCCTCCGGATCGAAAGGAGCCAGTTGAGGTGGTTTGGGCATCTGGTCAGGATGCCTCCTGGACGCCTCCCCGGGGAGGTGTTTCGGGCATGTCCTGCCGGCAGAAGGCCCCCGGGTCGACCCAGGACACGTTGGAGAGGTTACATCTCCAGTCTGGTCCGGGAACGCCTTGGGGTCCTGCCGGAGGAGCTGGTGGACAAGGCCGGGGAGAGGACGGCCTGGAGCTCCCTAGTTGGGATGCTGCCCCCGCGACCCGGACCCGGATAAGCGGAGGAAGACGACGACGACGACGACGATCATATTGTACCAAATCATGTTTTAAAATCCTCCTGGTCTCAAACCTGTGAGTTAGCTGTCATTTAGCTTAAAAAAGCAAGGTAAGATATTATTTTTTAAAACATCAAACATCGTGCAGAAAACATGCGGCAACCACCCAAAGTCCGAACAGTGAAACATTAATATCCGATTCTTTATTAACCCCTCGGGAAGTTTCCTCAGGGAAATCAGTGTCCAGCAGTGGATAATCATCAGGAAAATATAAAACTGTTTCAACAAGAAAAAATATGGAAAAGGACTAAAATAAAAATAATAAGAAAAAGATGAACAATTTGATAAAATGTATACATTAAAAGGTAAATATGGATATGCTCTTTTGTTCTAGGCAGGCCTAGAAGTAAATAAGTCAAATGAAATGCCACGGTACTTGTCTTGTTGCTTGAACAGGTTTCAGCTCTCATCCAAAAACTTTTTTACTCATCTGCTCATTCTTCAAGACGAATTTGTACAACGATCTTGGATAGAGGAGTTCACACTCACACAGGTGTCCTAAAAGACACCATCAGGACTTGATGTTCTTTTCTGTCCCCCCACACACAGCCTGCGATGCTCCCTTCCGCCTATTTTAAGGCGCGTACAACTCATTTTCTCCCATGATGTCGTTGTCACCCCTCAGACCTGGAAGCTGTTCAGCTCATCACCCCTCAGGGGGCCATCAGAACACTGCGTGCAAACTCAGAACACACAGGTTAGGACATCTGGAGGAGAACCCTCCTCCAAGACCGTGTAGATCTCATGAAACCCAGACTTATGTGCAGCGCAGATGTCAATAACTGAGCGACTCAAAGGCGAGGCGGAGATTAGTAGACTAGAAACCTGCTCAGGACTCTGTGATCTCACTGGACCATGTGGGAAATTCTGCAGCACTGTCTGCATTGAATAACATAACATAGTAAAGGATGACATTGTCTGATTTCCTACACTGTATGTAAATTAAAGGTGCAGTATGTAAGAATATGGTGAGAATTTTACAGGGAGAAAATCCCAAAAGATTAAAGTTTCAGTTATTTTGGAAGAAATTGGTGGCCCAAGGACACAACAGCAACTGAGCGAGGCTCGAACCTGCAACCTCCTGATTACGAGGTGAGCATTTGACTCCTGTGCTACCATCACCTCAAAGGAAGGTAATACTGAGACATGTTTCATATCCAGCTGGCTGCAGAAATGGTCAGTTTTTCTCCTTTCAAAATAAGGTAAGGTGGGACGTAACTACTGTTTACCATCAGTGAGTGTGGGTTGCCATGTCCCCTGCGAGCTAATACTGCAGCACCGACAATTTTAATTTGACGACAGTCGGTAAAAAGCTCCAGAGTTGTTTAAAGTGGTTGCAGTAAATACATTTTACCTCAGGATGTCATTTTTACTTAAGCCTGGTTTATGCTTCTCCGTCAGCTCCGCAAGGGACAGACACACATGGATTGACGGAAGCGTTTTGCTCTTTTACTTCTCCGTCTCCTGGAGAGTGTTGCAAAGCAATTGCCCAGCAGGACCACAGAGGGCGTAGCGCTGTTCTGTGGTATCCTGTCATGTATCGGTCCAAGATCGTTTGTTTATATTGTGTTTTTTTGTGTACATAAGAGACTTTTAACACGGACATATTTGTCTCTCATTCTCCCACCGCTTCATGCGCTCCCCACCTCTAAACCCACGTTTCCTGTCATTTCCGTCCACAAATAAAACGCTTGCTGCGCATCTTTTCACTCCTCCAGTCACGGGAGGATGAAACTTTCATATTTTTAGAGTTTTTTCACGAGGCATTCTTCAAGCTTCTCCGTGTCTGCCGCGCCGCTAGTTATCCTCGGCTCTCTTTGCAATGGTGGCGCTGTAAACAACAGCGGCGTCCTGACCAATCACAAGCTTGCGTAATCCGTCTCGTTCGACGGATGTTTAAAAAAGTGGGCTCGACTCCGTACGTACTTGCGTGCCTGCCGGAGCCCTACGCAAGGACGGATAATGGCGTTGCGTGTGCTCCGCATTGACGCAGACGAAGCATAAATCAGGCTTTACTTTTCACATAATGCACCTTTAAAGCCCGCATGAGAGACCAATGTTTGCACACTTTTACATCAGAAATTCAAAGCGACATCCCTGTTTCCTGAAATAGGAAGACCTTCAAACTGTTCAAATTTATCACGTAATGCAGGGCTTCATCAGTAACTCCAACAGAACATTCTTTCCTAAATACACAAAACTTGTTTTGATCATTTTTGTACAAGTTACTTAAGTAACATTTGAGTACTTTAGTAGCAGTGGCAGTATGTCTGCTTGAGTGAATCTGTCAGAATTTATTAGGATGTGTTGTTAAAAAGTCTTTGATAGTCCTGAACAGAAGCCCGCAGTTTCAGCTTCCATTCCTACCAAAGCCTGATGTCTCCTCTCTGGTGCTGCCTCGGTCTGAGCTGCTGCAGCAGCCTGAACAGCACAGAGTTCTGGGGACAGAGTGGGACAGGTGTCCGGGTGCTGGATGGACGGAAATAGTCCCACAATGAGTCAGAGGGTGAAACGAAGGTGGGATAATTCCATTTCTATTTTCAGAAAGCGTGACACACTTCTTCTGCCTGTGATTGTCATGAAGCTGGAATGTAGCTCTGCTGCACTGTTGCGTGTAAATCCTGCAACAGCGAGAATCTCAGAGTTGTTGCTATGGTGATTATCAACATCAACACCTGAATATGGAGTCAAATCAACATGATGTCCTCAGTGAAAGATGGTCCGATTACACACATACATGTTGTTATTTTATTAGTGTGTGTGTGTGTGTGTGTGTGTGTGTGTGTGTTAGCAAACTGTCTTATAATCGACCACTGAAACTCTAATAAAGTCTCGATTGTGCATCTACAGCTTTAAGAGCCAAAATGGCCTCCACAGCTGACCCTATTCAACACAAAGATGGACACAACTGGTTCAGTTTCAGATACATTGAGATAGAGTTTCATGTGGTGACAGATCGTGCACGGGTCTTGCCATGCGGCAACAGATTTCACGTTACATTTTCAATATTTTGCAAAGACAACTTTAAATCCATTCTTTCTCAGCATTAAATAAACAATCAGTAAATCTTTGCTACTCTAACATTCCTTCAAGGAAATCAGACCTTTAATCTGTCTTAATTAGGTTATTTCTACATCCATCACCCCCTAAAGGCCAAATATGATGTAGAGTTGTGTAAGTTTTTAAAGCCCTGCTGTTTGGCTGCTGTGTCCTGATGACCTCCGCTGATCTCTCATGCCTGTTATAGAATGGAAACCACCCCCGCCCCCCTTTAATGGACACCGCTGACTAGATTTGCAGCTCTGTAGACAGAACAGATGAAGACATCAAGGAGACAATAAAGGCTACCCAGGCTTTAGCTGCGGGAGTGTTTTAAACTCATGTGTAGGACTTTGTGTTGCTCATGAGAAGCCATGGCCAAAGTAATCTTTGCATCAGAGTTATGTGATGCGTGTGCATTCTTGTGAGATTTGAAGAGATGGGGATCAGCACTCGCCATCGGTGACCCGCGGTATCTGATGACGACGTTGTCTGACAGATTTTTGATACCTGACAGCAGCTAGTGGGGGTCAGAATGATCCGGTGCAAGGACAGAGGGGAAGTTTAATGTTTACAGCCATTAAAGCTGCAGCAAAAAGCAAAAGTTCAGTGTCTTGTTTGTAAAGGGTACATTTGCTTCAAAAGGACTCTAATGGAAGCTTGTAAAACATCATGAGCCTCTAAACAGCCACAGCCACCTTGTTATTAGGCTGTCTAGTCGCTTTGAGAATCTGACACCTGCACGACTGCAGAATAAACATCAGACCGCAGAAACCTCATTTAACTGCAAATTCTGACATTTGTTCCAATCGCTCAACAAAACCACATCCGACCTTTGACCTTTCATTCATTAATGACTCCTAACAGCCAAACAGTGCATCAGAGAGACCTGCAAACCCACAACATGGCCAACAAGCTGCAACAGTTCAGAATGTCCATTCCACACACACAGCACACCTGGCTGGATAAATCTCACAATGCATCACAAAACTGTGCCGATACTGAATCGTTTGAATATTTGACCCAAATCGGCCTCTCGACGGGCCGCCATACCTGCAGCTGACAGAGCCAGGAAAGACAGCAGGCAGCATGCGGACACCAAAGCTTTCATGTTGGCTGCCAGGGGCCTGCTGCTCGTCCCCCGCAGCTATTTATACGGCCGTGGCTGAAGGTCAGAGGGCACTCCACTGGAGGCGGAGCACAGCAGCTGCACCCGGAGCAGCCGGAACAGCTGCTGTTCCAATCAGGGATGCTGATAGGAGCAAAGCAGGAAGATTAGCTGCTTTGTCTCCCTGTTAATTAACTTTTTGACATAAAAATTGTGAAGAAGTTTGAACCAATGCAGAAAGAAAAACTACTTTTTGCATTATTTTTATTATTTATATACGTGTCTTTAAACAGTTTTGGTATGGTAAAAAAGTTAAAATGTGTCACATAAAAATTTGGTTATTGTTGAGGTTTTTTTAAGGCAACTTAATAAAAACAATCAATTGGGCAAAAAAAAAAAGTTAAATAAAAAAACAAGAGGTGGTTTAGTTTTGGTGAGAATTAATAAAGTTCTGCAGTTTATTATTTTCCTCAGTTATTCAGACCCTAAGCAGAAATAAGCATAAACTCTATGTAACAAATAAATAAATGAATGTCCTCCTCTAAGAAGAATCAAGAGATCCATTCAGCAAACACATTAAGAGCTAATCTTCACATTTTGCTGCTCTTTGTTGAATTTCTCCTGTGGATATGTTTATTTTTAAATCTTAAAAGCAACGACTTGAATGTAACAGCATGAAACTGAATGCAGATGTGACCGATCATCCACTGAAGTGGAAAGAATGCACAATTTTGACTTATTTCAGAAAAATCATCATTTCCAGCTGAGATTCCCTACTGCCTTCTTGAAAATCACTTCCTGTTGTGCAACTACTTGCATATAAGAATTTTCCTCTTATGCTCCAAGTTTATATTCCAGCGCAATCATTTCTGGGATACTTTGATTTAGAAATACCTAGTGACATCATGTTGACCGATAGCTTGATTAGCAGAGTTGTTCATTATCTGAATTCATTTATTATGGAGTAACTTTTCATCTTTTATATGATCACAGAAATCAGATTAATAACAAAAATAAACTTTTTATTGAATCTTTTTGGTTTAAATCCGTGTTATTATTAATACCAAACCCACATTCATTCACATCTCCACACAAACCACAACTGATCGTCTCTTTTAGCCAAAAATAGATAATCAAATTGAGCCATCTGTGTTTAATTGTCAGATGTGATCTCAGCTGCAGACGATTGTATCGCCCCCTGGTGGACAGAAAAGGTAATAACATAAGAACGCAAAGAGAAGTGTAATAAAAAAGTACAAATTTTATTTTATTTTTTTCATCTTTTACAAAGGCCTGTTCACCCAATTTTTTTAATAAAAAAAATATAACAGCTTGTCATTGCCCTGGACTGATGAAAAAACAATGACAACAACAATAAGAGTCAAAAAATGTTAAAAGGGCTCTAAAAATTGAACGCAAGACAAATAACACAAATGAAGGCTAAAGAGCTGAACAAAGAGCTAATGAAATAAAAAGGCAGCAATAAGAAAAAACAACTGATTCAGGCAGTTTAGAACAAGTGCTTCATATGTAAAAAGTCCCCCAAATGCCAACACAATGTACAGAAACATCAGGGGGTGACACGCTTCTCTCACCTCATCAACACAACCCCCAACAACCAAGCTTCACAAATACAAAAAAAAAAAAACCCTAAACAAAACAAAAAAGCACCCCAAATACCCAAGTTTGGCATGAAAATACTAATCTAACCGGCTGATCAGTGAATTAAGTGTCCAAACATCCCGCACAAGATAGTGTCACTTAAAATAAAATGAAACGGTAAAGAAAATAAAGAAGAAGCCACTTAAGACCAGAGGAAACTGCTAATATGCATTGGGTTGGCAACAGAACAAACAAACATCAACAGACATGAATCCAAATGACGGAATGTTTACAGCATCAAGTCAGCGAATCGAATCAAGCCTGATGGGAGAGGGGCTCGGAGCGCGGCGTTCCAGTCAAGTTCCCGACGCAGACATAAGCAAAGTAACATGAGGTGCACAGACGCGGCGCATTTCAAAGGAAAATAAAGTTTCAGGGGGAGGGGAGGATTGTGGGTGGCACATCTGCTTTTCACTTCAGAGCTTTTCTCTGCACTTTCAGTGTCACACAATATTTTTGCTATTTTTAATTTGACTCAGACAAAAACCAAAGTTTCCCACCCAAAGCTGCCGATAGTTTCGTTTTTAGTTTTCCAAAATAGGTGCAAGTAACTGGGTTATTTCTGCGTGTGAGAAGTCGCACGGCAATTTTTTTTACTTTGGGCAAAATGAAAATAAATCCAGGAACACACAAAAAACAAAAACTAGTAAGTGGAGTGAAAGGTTTAGGCCTCAGCTTGGAGCACCACGCTGACCGGCAAAAAGAAGCACCTTGCAAGTAGAGTCAACTACATTCTTTGATAAAACATCAAGTTTCATTCGATAACTGTAGGTGCGGCGCGCACGCGCGCCCGTCCACGGTGCATAGACAACTTCACCTCATCTAGAAATGACTCCAACAACACGTACAGAAGATGAAATTGCATAAATACAAACATCACTAGTGCATAGTCACTGAAATCCTCAAACCGAGACCAGACGATCGTTTTAGGCCCTCGGAGGAGCCAACGGAATCCCGAATAATCCCAATCCGTTTCCAATTCTAACGTCAGCAGAATGAGAGGAAGAGTCCGATTCAGTCAAAAGGGTCGGATCACATTTAAACAGGCTGTTCGTGAAAACAGCAGACATGTTGTTGCTTAAACAAAAGTACTTTTTAAAAACTTTTAACGTTAATCTCCCTACTTTAACCAGATTATAAAAATAGGGGGGTTATATTTAAACTGATTCATGAAATTAACCTCACCTCTCTTAAAACCCGACAAACCTCCAAACTGATCTAAAAATAAAATTCTTCAGCATTTGGAAACCGTGAAGCTAAATAATCTAAACAAAACCTCCAAAAACATTAAAACAAAACAAACAAATCAGCTTATTTTGAGGTTTAGTTTAGTTTTAAAAAGCACAAATTTTCAAGTAAATCTGATATAATCTTTTTAAAAATTTACTTCTTCAAATTAAAAACTTCTTTGTCCAAAACTCTAACATTCAGAACAAGTTGAAGTGAACCGGATCCCCGTGACTCCGTGGAGAGCTGCTTGCTTTTGCTACATTCACCTCCTAACTCCATTATTTAGTTTTAATACTGTCTGTGTGCCGGCGATGATACGGTGACTGTAAGACGCAAACACACACACACACACACACACACACACACACACACACACACACACGCTGCGGGGCTGACAAAAGCGGAGAGCTTTTTTTTTTTTTCCAACAAGAAGACGAGTTAATTTTTCAAGTAGAGACGAACCGGCTCTCAAATCAAACTTGAGAAACCCGGCAGAGCCTTTTCCAAACGCTTTACTTCCAATTTTTTTTTTTTCATTCTCAAAAATCCTAAACGTTTACAGTACAAGAGCGGCACAGAGCTTAACCACTGGACTTAGGAGTGTGGATAATGCCAAAGGAAGGTTTTTTTTGTTTACTTTTAAGTAGTCGAGCTCCTGGAGGGAATCTTACAGTGAGTGGGAGTTTTAAGTGTTTGTGTGCGTTTGTTTTGGGGCGGTCAGTTCATGGAACAGTCCTCTCCCTCCGTGTCTGTCTCTGTCTCTGAGCAGGCAGTGTCCATGGCAACGTGGGCGGGGCTAACAATGACAGCTCTTCTCTGCTCATCCTCGGCACTGGCTCGCCTCTCCTGAGTGCGTTCGATGTGCTGGATCGCCTGCGAGGAAGACGAAGAAAAAACAAAACAGGTTTACCGTCAAACAACCAGACCTGACTCTGAAGGTGTTTGTCTTCACGAAGAGGAACGAACCAAACCTGCACAATGGTGTCCAAGTTCTGTCTGGAGGTGGACACGGAGCTGGTGTGGCCAGACGGGCTCATGGTCACCACGGTGACATGATGGTGGGGGTGCTGGTTTAGTGTTGGAGCCGGGACGATGACTGTGGGATGGTGGGTCGGTGCAGGAAGAGCCAGAACCTGCAGGTCAAAAGGAAACACTGGAGCGTTCACGCACGGCCTGTTCGGAGTCGGGATGATAAATACATCCTACCAAGAAATTATTTCAGCTTTTTAATTCCTGAAAAAATGCAATTAAGCGATGTATCCTGGTTGAAGGGGAAATAACTTTACAGTTATAACAAGTATGCAGTTTAAAAAAAAATCATGCTTATGAAGCTATCTGCACCGACTCGCTCTCACAAGTGATTTCAGCCGTTTCATACTTTACAGTTTCAGTACCTTCCAGAATGAGCCGTTTAAGAGCTCTGCCACTTTAAGAAAACAAGCGGTTTCTGGCCACGCCCACTCACCACCACTCAGACTGCTAGGCCCAATCCCAATACTCGCACTTCTACTCTTGCTTTAATTGCGCGATCCCGACCAGGGGTGCGCTTGCGTAGGGTGTCCCAATCCTCAAGTGCGGATGTTGATCACGCCACTTTTGCACCCTTGATCTGCCCTTCACCCAAAGTGTATTACTTACAATCCATTGCTGCGGGAGAAAAGGCTCAAGTGCCATTTCTGAAAATTTGTATTTTCTAACGAAAGTCGTTCGATTTAGGGCAATTTGTTGATGCTCTGAATCTTTTAGACAAACTAGCAATGAACATAAATCTACTTCAGCAACCCCCTTTTCCTTATATGCAAAATGGGAGCGCCTTAGGTTTGCATGTCCACAATTAACCGTATTCTGTCTATGTGCATGTATTGTTTGTCTGATCTTGTTGTACTGGGGCGCATGGACGTAATTTTCACTTTAGAAGTGGGGGGGACACGGGGGTGGGAGGGTGTATCTTTACAGTATGTTCTGATGGGAAACAGGCTTCAACACAAACAGTTGTTTTCTGCTTGGTCCTAGAGCTCAACCAGTGTCAATTTAATATAGCGTAATATTGTTTTTGGATGGTGAAAAATGCAGGTGTCAACGCTTGACTTTGGAAAAAGTGGGGGGGACATGTCCCCCCTGTCCCCCCCCCAAAATTACGTCCATGCTGGGGCGTTAGTTCAATGACAAACTTCTATTCTAAAACCTGAGAAGCTCTGATATCTGGGAGGGGCAAGAGTAAAGCTGCTGCCCCTCCAGCTCAACTCAGCCCTCGGAACCACAACGGAGCAGAGACTGAAAGGTAGGGGAAAACACCAAACCATGCTGTTGGGAAAAGTGGCCAGACTGAACCGATCCCTCCCGAGTCACACCGAGTAGAGCTGTCGGAAAAGGCCTTTTACTGACCTGAGAACTGTGGATCTGTTTCTCCCCAGCGTGGATCTGCTGGATCCGTAGCAACATTTGGTTCTTAACAAGAGCATGCTCCTCCTCCACCTTCTGGGTTAGCACCTTCAGTCGCTCCGGGTACAGCTGGGTGTCCAAACAGCGCACCTGCAACCACACACTTTAATTACACCAATCACTTTAATCCACACAAGAATCTCAGAAACCTTTAAAATCAGGCGTAAATTTATGTTTAAACACAAAAAAATCCTGATTTTATCAAACTTTAAACTTCACCCACTTCATCACCAAACCCATTTTGCCGACGCTCACTTTGGACTCTCCTGAAATAGTCGCCTGGCCTGCCAGACTCCTCCTATGTTTAATTCTGCACAGAGACAGGGTCTGGGAACTCTCCTATTCAAATAACCCCACCCCCTGAGAACTCTAACCGAGCCAATCAGCGCTGAGTAGCGTACGTCACACACCGCAATGCCGAGTTTGTCATAGGGCTTGTTCGAGATGAGCCAGTTCTGCGCAGATTCGATCACCGGTGATCGGCGCGCAGTGCATGCCGGTTAGATTAGTGTCCGCCGACTTGCTCGGACGTCATGCACACATAGGCAACGATAACCTCGTGAGATCAAGACTCTGCAGTTGCTCTCCATCAGCTGCAAAACCTAGGGCATGACGGGAAACGCCTGGCTCTCACCTGATCTAAGATCTGATTGGTTCATATTTTGATCCAAACATCCGGTGGTAGAACATGAAATGATCAATGGTCACATGTATTCTGTAAATCATGTAACGTTGATGATGACAACTATATAGGCCATAAAGAGAAATGTGTTTTGTGTTATTTGTCACGTTTCCTATGAGCACACTGAACCTACAGCTGATAACCTTTACTTATTATTACAGTCATGTCTCCATATGCATTATATTATATCCACAAGCATGTGAGGATGTGTTTCGGTTGCTAACGGGCACCAGAATTAAAATAAAAAGTTACACAAGTATGAACTCTAACGCGATATCTTCATCCGTCGTCACCCGCCAGCTACACATGTAGGGAAATCTGTTCGGCTTAAACGCCGGCTTTCAGCCACTCCCCTGCTGCGTCCGTCTGCTCTCGTCTGTTTTCCAGGCGAGGCGCTGCTCAACTCGAACACGCTCATAAACATGGTGACTGAAGTGGAGTTCGCTGCGACTCTCCTCTGTTCTAAATGACTCGGATGTCTTTAAAGCCACAACAAGTAGAAGCGCTAAAAGCCTTTCTTCTAAAATAAATAAGATGTTTGCTCCGTTGCCAGATGCCGTTTTTGACTACAGCTAAAAAACGACAGCGTCGCGTGTAGGGATGGGTACATTTGACATTTGAATCGATTCGGTACTAATTCTCGGTACTTACGAATCGATACCGGTACTTAACGGTACCAATTTGATACTTTTGGGTGTTTAATATTTTAATTCTCTTTAATAATTAAATATGTATTTTTCTCAATATATAACAATATTTGATAAATATCACACAACTGTTTGTATTTTAACATCGTCCTTGTAGTTTTATGAGCTGATAATTAAACTGAAGCAAACATCTTTACTGTGAACTAAATTTACTGTGTATCTTCATTCATTTTGCCGTCTTTTTCATTTGATTTTTTCCTACTGGGAAGTTAGAATTTCCGAGGAGAAAGCGAACGCACCATTAGCTGATAACAATGGTAGCAATGGAAGCTAACATACCAAGCTAACGTTATCTTTAACAGTTTATTTAACTGCTGGAGCAGATTAAAACGATGATGCCTCACACTTAGATCGTTGTCACTGGTTTCGTCTTCACCCAATCACCCGTCGCATTTAGTAAAGTGGAGCCAAACTTTAGAGCGCGTTCATGTTCTTCTAGTCGGAAATTCGGAGTTCCGAGGAGAAAGCGAACACACCATTAGCAAAACGGAAGCTAACATATCAAGCTAACGTTATCTTAAACATTTTATTTACCTACCAGAGCAGATTAAGATGAGGATGTCTCACTTAGATCGTTGTCACTGGTTTCGTCTTCACCCAATCACCCGTCGCATTTAGTAAAGTGGAGCCAAACTTTAGAGCGGGTTCATGTTCTTCTAGTCGAAAATTCGGAGTTCCGAGGAGATAGCGAACGCACCATAAGCGAAAAGGAAGCTAATAAATCAAGCTAACGTTATCTTAAACATTTTATTTACCTACCGGAGCAGATTAGGATGAGGATGTCTCACTTAGATCGTTGTCACTGGTTTCGTCTTCACCCAATCACCCGTCGCATTTAGTAAAGTGGAGCCAAACTTTAGAGCGGGTTCATGTTCTTCTAGTCGGAAATTCGGAGTTCCGAGGAGACAGCGAACGCACCATAAGCGAAAAGGAAGCTAATAAATCAAGCTAACGTTATCTTAAACATTTTATTTACCTACCGGAGCAGATTAGGATGAGGATGTCTCACTTAGATTGTTGTCGCTGGTTTCATCATCACCCAGTCACCCATCACATTTAGTGAAGTGGACCCAAGCGTTAGCGTGTGTTCTTTCTACCATGCTGCTCTGTTTACAACTGGCTCGCAGCGACCGACGACATAACGCTCTTGCGCATGCGCAGCTGTGTAGGCAAGTTCTCGTTATGAAGGACGGGTACCGAAACGAGGCACCGTTTCAAATGAAGTGAATCGGTGCTCGGTCAATACTATGGAATTTGGTCGGTACCTTAAAAAGTACCAAATTCGGTACCCATCCCTAGTTTCTGATTGGTTACTTTTGAGCTGCCTAGTTCCGCCCCTCATGTTCCTCTGCCTGTGAGTTACCAGACTCTTTCTCTGTGCAGAATTAAACAGGATGAGTCTGGCAGGCCAGGCTACTGAAACAGACCCACCTGCAACCCCCTCCCCCCATGTTTAGCTTGCATTTTACCCGCTTGTTTAAGTTTCAGCTCATCTTTAGCACCTGTGCAGTCACCTGTCTTAACCTGCTGTTCAGGTAAATCCAGGATGTGAGCAATCCAGCAAACTGGCTGATGAGCCGATAAACCCGTCCAACAGCTTGCTAACGTTTGCTGCTCGGATCTCATGATAATAAACTTTTGGTATTCTGGGCGGTGGCGTAAATCGATCTCATCATGCAAATAAATAAATGAGAGTAATTGCACAACTGCAGAAAAAGCAAGAAAGCAAATAAACGCTCTGACAGGAACCGGACCTCACCTGCTCCTCCAGGTGCATACGAGCCGAACGTTCCTTGTCCAACTGCTGTCGCAGCTCCAGCATCTCCCTCCTCAGCTCTTCCACCTTTTCTTCCTCCAGTGTGTCAGGAGAACCGATGCCTTCATCCTTCTCCTCTGCTCGCCTCCTTTTAGGCGAGGAACCGCTAAACTCCTGCAACAAGGATGCGACAAACTCAAACATGCATGTAAACACTGCTTCTGATAAAGCCACCCCCCAACCCCACACTGGCATATCCGACTCCCACTGCGTCTGACAGCTGATCTTACTCTTGTGTTGTGCACAGGTGGAAGCCGTTAGAAGAACCAGTTTTACAGGTTTCGTGACAAATAAAAGCAAACAACCGAAAACCATCATCGGGTGAAATGTGAGCAGACTCAAAGGACTCCACATTTAGTCACCTGGATCAAACGTTTGAGCTGATTGTTCTGCGTGAGAAGCTGCGTTTTTTCCTGCTCCAGGGTGAAGATGTAGTCGGCAGTCTGTTGAAGGATTGCTGCCTGGCAGGAGGAGAAACCAGAAGCCCGACTTAGGGATCGCCTCGGAACACGAAACCAAATTAAAGGACCAACATTCCTACAGATGAAGTGGATCACCCGCCAACTTTCAAAAACCTCATCGCAGGTCACAACGTCGTTGCAGAAAAGTGGGAGCTCACCTTGCTGAGTTTTTCTCCATCCGAGTGTGGCAGGAGCGTTTTGAGGGACTGAAACCCAGCGTTGATGCTCTGCATACGGCGCCTCTCGTTGCTGTTGGCGATTTCACGGCGGATCCGTCTCTCCTGATCCTGGGCAGTCTCTGGGCTGAGGGGGATGTTCGCCAAACTGAAAGACATTTGAAATAGATTTGTTTGTATTCTGCGTTGAGAGTCATAAAGCTCATCCCTGCTGCACATTTCATTCCCAACTGTTTTTAAATCCCACTGCTGCCAGGAAACGTTAATCGTAAACTGGCTCCTGTTGGTTAACAAACTTCCCGATCCAAGTTCAACCAAAAAAGTCAAACATGACTTCTTTACATTCCTTAATTCCAGCCCAAAGAGGTCCGTGAGTTTGGATGAACCCCACGCTCCCCATTGCACGGCTAATCCCAAGTGTCAGAGATTGTAAGGGTAAAACATTCAAACATATTTACTCAGAAGGGGGGCTGGGTGTGTATGTGTGAACCATTAACAAAGCTGAAGAGCCAGCTGTGGGAAGTTTACAGTCAGAAGGCTAGATGTAAAGCACAGCTGATTAAAATAAACCTGCGTGTCAATTTATCATTTCAATACTGTATTTTCATGTCAAAGGAGGTCATACCATTCAGGGTTTAAGTTAATCTCTTAAAACAAACTCATTCATCACCCTAAAATCATTCACTGTGAGAATGCTTGTTTAGGTGGACCTTATTCATGCAGTAAAAAAAAACTTCTGTGATCAAATAAATGTTTATGCTGTTATTTCGAATTTGACTAATGATGTAATCTAAGACATTATGAATGGAGCGTCGCACGCTGCGGTCCTTTTATCCAGGAGATTGAAACGCTTAAATGCCTGAGATACTTCTAAACAGAGGTGTCGTGATTTCCTAACGCAGAGGAACCAGCTGTTGTGTGTTGTCACTGCCAGGGGCAGCTGGATTCCTCTAATCGTGACCGCTAGGGGGCGCATCGCACGCTCGGAGTCAGGACAGCTGCAGCAGCCCAGCCCCCCCGGAAGGCACCGAGGAGAACAATGCTTTCCACCGTTAGCATCGAGCTAACGCTTTGTTGTTGACATGTGACCTCCATTAGCAGGCGCATGTTCGGCCGAACACTAGTCAGGCGAGGTCCTAACATTTTAGATGCAACATCACCTGTGTTTAGAAAAGCCCAATCACGGGGTACACGAGACACAAAACAAGTGCGCAGTCAACCCAAGCTAAGCTAATTTTAGCACATGACACAACGACTGTTGCGAGGAGCAGCAGTACACAAAAATAACACAGCCGAAAAACAGCTTAACACTACAAAAATGATACACATGCGAATGAACTCTTACACTGTGTTCATTGGGGCTAAATTTGGAAATTTATTTGCCAACACATGACTAAACGTGATTCGCGTAGCGACGACCATGTTCACTACCACGTGCTTGATTTCTATCTAGACGGTATCGATTTCACCTCGCTAATTTGCATAATATAAACCGCATAGTTTGAAACGTGCTCTGTAAGCCGAAGTAAACATTTAAACTTCTGAATGTAAACACCAAAAGCAACAAATTCCGCATGTTGCAGCTGATAAAACCGCCGTAAGCAGCTAATTCCCACAACCAGGCTACAGCTGGCAACACAGCAGCGAAGCTAGCAGCTAGCATGTTACCTGAAGTCAGACTGTACCACACACACACACACACAAACACGCCCGCGCGAGAGCCACATGGAATATTATTCATGCGAGCGGGATCATAACACCTTAAACACGTATCGTTTCTGCTGTTACACACCTGCAAAGACCTCCAATAACGTCCTTCTCCGTCTTCTTGAACTGCTGTAAGGACGGGATCTTCTCTGTCGGCATCATGAAATATTCCATGCTTTCAAAGCCACCTTCAGCAGTCCGTGCTTTCTATTTTCTTTCCCTTTCCCTTGTTTTTCCCTCCTAAACTAATCGTTTTGGTTGATCTTGGTGTGATCTCGATGCGCCGATCAGTAGCGCAGGTCATAAAACATAAACCCAAACCCAATCTGTGGAGGAGCGAAAGAAAAATAAAAGTCAATTCAGGCTGTGTCGCTCTCCACAGCTGATGGGGTTCCCTCCAGTGTGTGTGTGTGTGTGTGTGTGTGTGTGTGTGTGTGTGTGTGTGTGTGTGTGCGTGTGTGCGTGCGTGCGTGTGTGCGTGCGTGCGTGTGTTTTCCTACCTCCGCCTACTACGAGTGTGTATGTGTGTGTGTGTGTGTGTGTGTGTGTGTGCGCGTGCGTGTGTGTGTTTTCCTACCTCCGCCTACTACGAGTGTGTATGTGTGTGTGCAGCTGATCTGTGTGAGGCGGGAAACAGCTGGTTGGAATCAGAGCTCGTTTTCCGGAAAGAAGAACAAAACGTGTTCTGTTTTCGAAGTTCTGCAGTGGACCGTCTGCGGTTCTGCAAATTTGCAAGCGCTCAACACTGACATCAAACCCTCCAGCAGGACACAGGGAGCGGAGGAAGAACAAAGGAGAGCCGATAGGAGATTATGCTAAGCAACCCATTTCTAATCAGTTATTAAATACAATTAATGATCATAATCGTTATTTACTTTTAAAAAAGGCCAATCTATTCTACATTAGGATAAATTAGCTCATAACACCTCCTCCCACAAAAGTGTCTGCAATATATATAAAAAGTCAGAATTTTGGCTGTAGCTATTTTTCTTAGAAAATGTCAAACTTAAACAATTAGCAGAATTTTGATTCACGTAAAACGAATTTTTTCCTTAATTTCACGTTCATGCACGAGTCATTTTAGGTGTAAATTCAAAATTACGAATCAATTCAAAAGCAAAAATAAAGCTGTAGATGTTTTACCTATTTAACAGTTTGAATTAGTAACATTCTTTTAAATACCAGAAAATCGAAAGCACAAAAAATGATTTATTTTACGATTTACAACTTATTGAAAACTTGAACATCTTAGGTGTGTTCTTGCTGTGTCTTTGTAAATCCATGCTTTCGTTCTTTTTTAAACACAGAAACAGTTTTGTTTACCTGTTTGTAGCTACGGTTTCGCCGACAAAACTGTTTCTGTGTTTAAAAAAGAACGAAAGCATGGATTATTGAAAACTTGCTGATTTTTGATTGATCAGTATGACATTTAGCAATTTAAACAAAAGATTGATAAAAAAATGAAACCGTTAGCCAGTAAAATTGTTAAGTGACAAAATAAAAAAAGGTGCTTTAACAAACTAAAAGCTATTTTAGTCCAGTAGGGGGCAGCATTTCACTAGTTGCTATTGTTTACATCAAAACTAAACATCTTGAAAACCGGAAGTTGTTGTAAACAGATTCACCCACGGCTGTAACTTGGATAAACCACTTATTTTATGGAAATTAAACTAAGTTTTGAAAGCTCAATGTGAATTTAAATCACAGGTGCAACAAAACATCTGGAATCCAGCTGTTTCCATTATTCCTGAGTGTGAAAATAAAATATACATGCAAAACCAGACATTTTTCATTACTTTTGTGTTTTTATTTTTTCATGCAGCTGGAGGAGTACGTTAACAAAACAACGTTCATTAACGATAAATATGTGGTCCTTACATACATACATTGATATATATATACATAACAAAACCTCCCACATCAATACATCTTTAAGTACGTTTACATGAATAAAGAAAACAAAACATTTCTTTATTTTCCTTAAATATGACACTGATTTCAGTAATTGTTTAACTCTAGTCAGTGACCTGTTTTTATTAGAAGTAATTGCACATACAGTAATACATTTATGATAGTGTAATTGTGGAGACAACAATGTTTATTCACCAAAATTTACATTTATGCTTAAAAACCAAGAAAAAGAACAAGAAAGTATATAAACAAACACTCGAAACAGCAAGAAAAGAAAATTCTCTGGTGGAAAAGTGCATTTATGAAAATATTTTTTGCCTTCAAATTTCTACATTTCAGCATTTACAAGAGACCGGTGTTGAACTAATCTGATTCAAAGCAGAGTTTTCTTTGATTATTTTTTGGTAGCATTAAGTTGATAATTCTGGTTTACCGATCTAACAGCAAGTGTGGGAGGCCGTCGGAGTATGCATCTAAATGTATGCGAGGCAATTCTTCACCTGCATCCTTATTTAAAGTGGAATTTCACTTTCAGAATAAAAGAACAGTAATTCCACGTGCGTCATGCAAAGATCACGGAGCTGATGGAGCAGCTTCTGCTGAGATGGATGGTCTGGTCCTCTTGGCAGCAGATTCCTCCACAGAAAACGTGTAATTGTACTGAAAACGAAGAGCAGAAGATTTTAAGTAGAAAGCTACTTGGTAAAATAGCAGGAATCAGACGTGAGCTCACCTCGTTTTCAATGTCTGCGAGGGACTTTATGCGAATGTTGTTTAACTGAGAATTCAACTGCAGAGACTAAAAACAGATAAAACAGAGAATGTATGTTAATACTATAGAGATAGGACAAAGTGGGACATATTTTATTGGCTATTATTCTATTTTAGTTGAATTATAAATGAGGCGTACCATTCCATTTGCCTGGAAATCATAATCTGGGTGGAGGCTGAAGGGAACTCCGTCCAGAGCTGTAAAAAAAAGTGCATCAGTCATGACACGGCAACAACAAAAGAAGATTTTATTTAGACATCCATTCCTTTTTTAAACATTTGACACAAACAAGTTCAAATGGGGAAAACGTGAAAGAAAAGTGTGAAGACACCTGAAGCAAAGTGAGAGGTGGATCATGAATAAATGAACAAAAGAGCTCCACCCAAAAGTTCCTGTTTCAGCTTTCCTCTTATTAGTCAGCAAGGCGAGTCAGCATTTCTTCTACAGTGGCAGCGAGAAAGTCTATTTAAGTTAGAGATCTGAAACCTCTCATCTTAACGACAACATATAGTTTCTATAGCATCTTTAAGTCTGTTTAAAGGCGTGGAACACTGAACCAATATTTTAATGATTATTTCTGATTATAATGGGTCACTCTGAGTTTTTCATACAAGCTGAACATGAAAATAGTCTCCTACACCTATCTCCTGCATTAGCTTCTGATAGGAAATAGACAGTGAAACGCTAGGATTTGAAAAGCCTGACAGTGTGACCTCACACTGTCACTTAACATTCATGGACTCACCCATCTTGACTCTCGACAGGGCAGGCTGTTGTCAGTTTAATGTTCAAGAATCAGCATTCAGCAGCGAACAATCTGACTAGTTTAAGCTAACCATTAGCATTAGCAACTTCACCACATGGCAGAACTCCTCCAGGCTTGTGTTATTGGTGGAGATAAAACATCCACTTTGAAAGTCAGTGGTAGAGTCGTGTTGCTGTTATCCAATCCAAGGCGAGAAGTCCAAATATCAGGAAATAAGACCCCAAAACCTGCCACCTGAAGCTCAGCTATGATGTGGGTAACTGCTAGTTCCTGGAAACTGTGCACCAATGTTTTTTCCCCCTGAGTATGACTTACAAGGCATTCATTCCTACTAGAGATCACTGCAAATGTATTGATTAAATTAGTGTTTAACACCTTTAATCTTTAAAATGAATTGTAAATGTTTTCCAAATGTTCATTAATGCACTTATATACATATACTACAGCTAAGGCTGGGTGATACAGCCTAAAATAAATATCATAGTGTATTTAAGAGTTCACCTCGATAACGATAAATGGACGATAACAACAGGTATGCGCACAAACAAAAGTTGTCCACTAGATGGGGCTGTCAAGTGTATTACATTGAGTCATGTGACTCAAGGTGATACAGCTTCTTAAAGGGACATGAACATCGCCAACCTACACACGTCCTTTCACTTTTTTTATTAACAAATTTATTGACATGGGGAAAATGACATTGGTTAGTCAGATATGATCGCCCAGCCCTAACTACAGCTTATGTGGCATTGGGGCGACGGTGGCACAGGAGTTAAGTGCTCGCCCCGTAATCAGAAGGTTGCAGGTTCGAGTCCCGCTCAGTCTGTCGCTGTCGTTGTATCCTTGGGCAAGACACTTAACCCACCTTGCCTGCTGGTGGTGGTTGGAGGGACCGGTGGCGCCAGTGCTCGGCAGCCTCGCCTGTCAGTGTGCTCAAGTGCAGCTGCAGTTACTGCAAAAACTGCCTACATACCAGAACAGCAGCAGGTGGGAACAGGAGGACAGAGAGGCAGCAGGAAGGACATATTATGTAGAAGGGAGGAGGAGGCGGGGGTGTTATGCTTTAGGTTAGGCTCTCCACTTTTCGACGATGATTGGCTTAAACTTCCTCACCATGCTTCCGAGTCATGTTGTACCACACGTGCTACAGAACTCACGTGTCCACTGCTTTTTGCGTAGTTTAGAGGGGTGAGTCGTATCAGCGTGACTAGATGCCAAATAGCGTAATTGCTAAGCAAAATCTCCTCCTTGAACCGTCACCTTATCGTGGTGGAGGAGTTTGAGTGCCCTAATGATCCTAGGAGCTATGTTGTCTGGGGCACTTTGTGCCCCTGGTAGGGTCTCCCATGACAAATTGGTCTTAGGTGAAGGGTGAGACAAAGAAAGGTTCACAGGATCTTTCATGGATGTAAATTCAAAGAGTCGGAGTACCCGGCCTGGAGGGTTACCGGGGTCCCTCCCTGGAGCCAGGCCTGGGGTTGGGGCCAGTGAGCGAGCGCCTGGACTTTCGCCCATGGGGCCCGGCCGGGCCCAGCCCAAACCGGATACATGGGCTCATCCAACTGTGGACCCACCACCCGCAGGAGGAACATGAAGGGTCCGGTGCAGTGTGGATCGGGTGGCAGACCGAGGCGGGAGCCTTGGCGGTCCGATACCCGGACAAGGAAACTGGTTATTGGGACATGGAACGTCACCTCGCTGGTGGGGAAGGAGCAGGAGCTTGTGGCAGAGGTTGAGCGGTACCGGCTAGATATAGTCAAACTCACCTTGACAAATAGCATTGGCTCTGGAACTCAAGTCCTTGAGAGGGGTTGGACACTCTCCTTTGCTGGAGTTGCTCCGGGTGACCCCGGGTTTCCACGGGAGCCGTCAGCAGCACGTTACTGCAGCAGCACGTCTTGCTCGCGTAAGCTGCTGCTTGGCCCTTCCCACGAGACGCGAAGCAGCAGGGGAGCAGCTGTCACCGACAGAGCACGAAGTCACACGAGTGACTTCGTCAATAAACACAACAACAAGCAGGAGAAAACTACAACATGGTTTGTGTTTTATATTCTGTCCGTTTTATAATCGCCAATACGGACCTGAAAAACAAAGGAGACCGCTAGCTGTGTGATAACTTCTCACGGGGCCACACAGTAACTGTTTTTAAAAGTAAAGCAACCGGAAGGCAGTACGTTCTTTATTCTGAAAATCTCGGGAGCTTCTCCCCATTTCCGCGTTCGATTTCCTGTCTTTCCTTCCCCAAAAATGTCGAACTTGACCCGTTTCGCGCGTAGAAAATAGAACCGGCGCGTAAAGGCCGCGACATGCAGCTCCTGAGACGCGGCCGACTCGCGCTGCTGACGGCTGCCGACGGCTCCCGTGGAAAGCCGGGTTGAGAGGCGGAGGGCTGGGGTTGGCTTTTTGTTAGCCCCAAGACTCTCTGCCTGTGTGTTGCGGTTTACCCCGAGGGACGAGAGGGTAGCTTCCCTGTGCCTTCGGGTCAGGAAACGGGTCCTGACTGTTGTTTGTGCTTATGGGCCAAATATCAGTTCAGATTACCCACCCTTTTTGGAGTCCCTGGGACGAGTGCTAGATAGTGCTCCATCAGGGGACTCCATTGTCCTGCTGGGGGACTTCAATGCTCACGTGGGCAATGACAGCTTGACCTGGAGGGGTGTGATTGGGAGGAACGGCCCGCCTGATCTGAACTCGAGTGGTGTTTCGTTATTGGACTTCTGTGCAAGCCGCAGTTTGGCCATAACGAACACCATGTTCGAACATAAGGATGCCCATCAGTACACTTGGTACCAGGGCAGCCTAGGTCGCAGGTCATTGATAGACTTTGTAGTCGTATCATCTGACCTGCGGCCGTATGTTTTGAACACCCCAGTGAAGAGAGGAGCGGAGCTGTCAACTGATCACCACCTGGTGGTAGTTGGATCAGATGGCAGGGGAAGATGCCGTGTAGACCTGGCAGACCCAAACGCATAGTGAGGGTCTGCTGGGAACGCCTGGCAGAAGAACCTGTCAAGACGGTCTTCAACTCCCACCTCCGGCAGAGCTTTGACCGCTTCCCGAGAGCAGTGGGGGACATTGGCTCCGAGTGGGCCTTGTTCCACTCTGTGATTGTTGAGGCGGCTGTTGCTAGCTGTGGTCGCAAGGTGGCCGGTGCCAGTCGTGGTGGCAACCCCCGTACTCCCTGGTGGACACCAGAGGTTCGGGGAGCCATCAGGCTGCAGAAGGAGGCCTACAGGGCGTGGCTGGTCTGTGGGTCTCCGGAGGCAGCAGATAGGTACCGGATAGCCAAGCGGGGTGCAGCAGTGGTAGTTGCCGAGGCAAAATCTCGGGCATGGGAGGAGTTTGGTGAGGCCATGGAGAAAGACTATCGATTGGCTCCACAGAGGTTCTGGCAAACTGTCCGGCGCCACAGGAGAGGAAGGCAGCAACTCGCTCACACGGTTTACAGTGGGGATGGGGAGCTGCTGACGTTGTGGTTCTTTTCCTTATCAAAACACAAGAGGATGAGACAACTTTGTCCTTACAGTGTGGGGCTTTTTATTTGTACAGTTCAGCAATACATCACCAGTAACTTTGGGACAGCGTTCAGTCAGGACGCAACAGGCCCCCGGCTGGATCTTCAGAAAAAGCCTCTACACAGAGAATGCAACGCCAGTTATACTTTTTACTGTCATCACTCCTGCACAGCTTAGGAAATGGGCCTCACATACACATGAATTGGAAACTGTTTGGGGAGACTTTCCCATGCAACAAGGCAGGAACCATCTAGCGCTGACGTCCGATAAACATTCATGATAAATGTTAGTCTAACTGGAAATTGTGCAAACTGGACTGAAAACAGGATGCTAAACCTCACGTACCCAAACACAGCTCTTGGCTCCTATAACGTCAACTGGGGCTATAGTCGGACGGTGGAAGGAATACTTTGAGGAGCTCCTCAATCCCACCTAAGCGCATTCCGAGGAGGAACCAGAGCCGGGAGACCTGGGGATGGACTGTCCAATCTCTGGGGCAGAAGTTGCTGAAGTAGTCAAACAACTACACAGTGGCGGAGCCCTGGGGGCGGATGAGATTCGTCCTGGGTATCTCAAGGCTATGGATGTTGTAGGGCTGTCGTGGTTGACACGTCTCTGCAACATTGCGTGGTCATCAGGGGCAGTTCCTGTGGAGTGGCAGACCGGGGTGGTGGCCCCCATCATTAAGAAGGGTGACCTGAGGGTGTGTTCCAACTATAGGGGGATCACACTCCTCAGCCTCCCTGGAAAGGTCTACTCCAAGGTACTGGAGAGGAGGGTCCGATCGATAGTTGAATCTCAGATTGAGATTGAGGAGGAGCAATGTGGTTTTCGTCCTGGCCGTGGAACTGTGGACCAGCTCTATACCCTTGCAAGGGTGATGGAGGGGGCATGGGAGTTTCCCCAACCAATCCACATGTGTTTTGTGGATTTGGAGAAGGCTTATGGCTGTATCCCCAGGGGCACCCTGTGGGGGACACTCCAGGAGTATGGGGTGGGTGGCTTTCTGTTAAGGGCCATTCAGTCCCTTTACCAGAGGAGCGTGAGTTTGGTCCGCATAGCCGGTAGTAAGTCAGACCTGTTCCCGGTGAGGGTTGGACTCCGCCAGGGCTGCCCTTTGTCACCGGTTCTGTTCATTACCTTTATGGACAGAATCTCTAGGCGCAGCCGTGGTGCGGAGTGTGTCAAGTTTGGTGGCAGGAGAATCTTGTCTTTGCTTTTTGCAGATGATGCGGTCCTCCTAGCTTCATCCAGCTCTGACCTTCAGCTCTTGCTGGGTAGGTTCACGGCCGAGTGTGAAGCGGCTGGGATGAGGATCAGCACCTCCAAATCTGAGACCATGGTTCTCGACCGGGAAAGGGTGGCTTGCCAACTCTGGGTCGGGGGAGAGGTCCTACCTCAAGTGGAGGAGTTTAAGTATCTCGGGGTCTTGTTCACGAGTGAGGGTAGGAGGGATCGGGAGATTGACAGGCGGATTGGTTCGGCGTCTGCAGTGATGCGGACGCTGAGCCAATCTGTCGTGGGGAAGAGGGAGCTGAGCCAGAAAGCCAGGCTCTCGATTTACCGGTCGATCTACGTCCCAATCCTCACCTATGGTCATGAGCTTTGGGTAATGACCGAAAGAACGAGATCGCGGATACAAGCGGCCGAAATGAGTTTCCTCCGTAGGGTGGCCGGGCTCAGCCTTAGAGATAGGGTGAGGAGCGCAGACATTCGGGAGGGACTCGGAGTAGAACCGCTGCTCCTCCGGATCGAAAGGAGTCAGTTGAGGTGGTTTGGGCATCTGGTCAGGATGCCTCCTGGACGCCTCCCTGGGGAGGTGTTTCGGGCATGTCCTGCTGGCAGGAGGCCCCCGGGTCGACCCAGGACACGTTGGAGAGGTTATATCTCCAATCTGGTCCGGGAACGCCTTGGGGTCCTGCCGGAGGAGCTGGTGGAGGTGGCCGAGGAGAGGACGGCCTGGAGCTCCCTAGTTGGGATGCTGCCCCCGCGACCCGGACCCGGATAAGCGGAGGAAGACGACGACGAGACGACGGCTAAGCAAAATGCGTACAGGTTGGTAGGTCTGCTATAATTAATCTAAATCTAACCGTTACTCACAAGAAGCCACAGCGGGTCTGGAAACCTGCATGTGGCCCCAGAGCCACAGGTTGCAGATCCCTCCTTAATAAAGATTTAAACAAAACACAAGATTGTGTGAATATTTAGAAGGAAACTGTTGCAAAAAGTATTTGGTGAAAGCTACAAAATCCCATCACTGTCACCCACTGGTGATAAATAAAAGAAGTCTGAAAGAGTTTTAGGAACCAGTGATGAATAAAAGTAGTTTTTCAATCTTTACCTGTAACCCCGGAGACGCTGCCGTCTCCTGACTTATCCAGGTTGTCCTTGCTGTGCAGGCTGCACCGTCTCTGAGTCAGCTTTCTCTGTGGCAGCGTTGCAGGAGGAGGGGGGTTGCTGTGGGAACAGAAAGGAAGATATTAAAATGAAGAGAGTGACAGTGGCTTCTTGCAACAACACATTTTATTAAAGAAACTCCACCTGTGTCTGAGGGGGAGAGCAGGGGGAGTGTCTGGCTGGTCCAAGGAGAGCTTACGCATGTCCAGCCCCACATTGCGGGGTTTGGGCTGGGGGAAGGTATTGGTAAATTGCCCCTTTCTGCACCACAGCACATAGCCGTTCACGTCACTGTGTGGAATGCAAATTTACAGAAATTTTATTAAAATATAAATACATGAAATAAAGCTCCTGTTTCTACATGGATGCTACGAACCCCACGTATGTGTAATGCTGCAGCATCATTTTACTTTTGGAGGTCAGTTTGATGTCCAACACAGCCGTGTCCACACTGCTCACCGGGGAGTAGCGGGCACACACTCGCTTTTTCTTCGAAACGGAAGTTTCTACGTACCCACACACACACATACACACACATGAGTTCAGAAATCAATCAGGCAGCAAAACGAAGCAGTAAAGCAGCGAGGATGCATACTTGGTTCCAGGTACTCTGCTATAGCGAAGTAGCCCTGAGGTATGCTGTCTTTTTCTGAAATGATCTGAATGTCGGACACCACCTTCCCATCTGTCAGGTCCTGAGGAGAGGAATGTAGTTTTTACACAAACCAAAAGCTCTGTGTGAAACACAAATCTGAAGTAAATAAATGCATTTCATTTTGGACGTGTACCCCTGAGCGCTACCTTGCTGTAACAGAGGTAATATCCAGATTTTATTGCAAAGCCGCGAACAAAGTTTGCAGTTGCTCCATCTTCAGTGAAGCTGATCTGCAGGTAGAGGGAAAAGAGCACGTTAAACATATCTAGCGCCTTTCAAGCGACCTTAAAGGAAAAAAACCTCTGCTCGTAAAAGTGGCAACAGTTTGCTTTTTTAAATAGATCTGTTAAACAACGTCAGTCCTGCTCAAATCTATAAAAACTTCAGTCATTTTGAGAATTTTAACCCATCAAAATCCAGTTTGATAACTGAATGTTATTTCTGTAATTAATGAATGAATAAATAAATAAATTAGCCTCCAGCCAGGTGCATAAACATACTAATTGTTTTTGTTTTCTACACTTTGAAGTTCAGTGCGAGAGTGAAACTGTGTTTTATTTACTTATCAGAGGTCAGGTTGAACTTTTGACAAACAGCAGAAGATCTAAAGAAACCAGGGCCACTAATGGAGAAATTACTGATTTTGGTGGTGAACAGTAAAAATCACAAACGTGACTACTTTTCTCTATAATGAAACCCTAATATCACAGAGTGTGTGATTATTGTTGCACATTACAGAATCAAAAACTGGTTTGAATGGAAGTCGATGGGACGTTTTTGTCCACTAAAGTCACAAGAGAATGGTAAATTTTAAAGCTACACAAAAACTATTATTGCAAAACTTTAAGATTTTTGATATTTCATAACATAACCAAAACTGATTTGTAATAAATGCTCAAGACAGAAAAAGTGGCTTTGGGGAAAATAACAAATGTTTTGTGTTTTTTATAAATTGCAGCGATGACAGTGAGTAATCAAACCGGGATTTGAAGGGTTAAAATTCTCAAAATGATTCAAATTTTTATAAGTTTGAGCAGGGCTGAAGTTATTTAACAGATCTATGAAAAAACAAAACAAACAAAAAAAAATTAAAAAAGTTAAATGAATGTATACATTTTTTAAAGCCACTTCTATGAGTGGACGGGTTTGTCCTCAATGATAAAAAGACGGTAGTGTTTTTTTATAGTGTTCCCTTGGTCTTTTTTCAAAATTCCAAACTGAATTTAAAAAATTTTCAAGAGAGAAGTTTTGCAGCTCAATTTTATACCATATGCACAAACAATGATAAAAAGGGGTCCAAACGAAAAGGGAAAAACTGCCCAAAATGGACAAAAATGTCCCCAATGATACCTGAGGGTTACTAGCAATAAATGCTGGTATTTTATCAGTTTTGATTAAATGTGAACTAACGGTTATACAAATAATATGCATTAATTGTTTTATTTCAGGTGAATTTTTTAACTGCTATGATGCAACAGAGTGTGGTTCTGTTCCTAAAGCCATCCTTGTCCTCCTGCACTTGGTAGAAAGAACTTTCTGGTGTACTTGCTATGAACATACTTGTCAAGTACACAAGAACGTACTAGCGCTGAGAACAGAATGGGATGGGAAAAGAATGCTTAGCTGTTTCAGCAAAAATATGTTTTCGGAATAGTTCAAATTAAAGCAAATTTAAAAGTTTGAGTTGAATTTTGTCCCATTTTGTGTGAAACATTTTTCTTTTGACCAAATATAAACAGTTTAGAAGTTATCAGCAGGGTGAAAACAGTAGCTGATAACTGATGATTACACCTTGGGTTTTGGGGACATCAACTACATCAGCTCTTTCCATTCAGCTACATCCTGAATTCGCTGTGGCTGAAGAGGGACGTTTCGACGTGTTTTGAAAACCGTTTACAGGAGTAGGTCCGTGTCAATGATTTCAAAAATACCCTTTTATAAATTAAAATTCTGAAATACACATGCACACCAACACTTTCATGCATTCAGAGCATCTCCAATAAACTCAGCATTTTCATTTTTAAAGGTCAGGCTTCAGTTTCAAACCCTCCAAAAAAAAATCTGTGATGTGAAAATCTTGTAACTTTAATAAAATTTGTTGTATCCAGGAACAATTTAGGATTTGCTACATACTATGTAAGCTAATAATGATGTCCATTTTTTATTCAGTTAATCAGATTTAATAGTAGCGATGCCTAATATTATTATCACTTTTATGATTGGTAACTGATATTTGCAGATACCGATATTCTAACATTAATGCTTCTAAAATCTACAGACTTTGTGTAGAATGAAAATTATTAAAGCTGGAATTACGTTATTATGCACACACACCACACACATTTACACTTCTGAGATGATTACAATCACTGTCACATGACTAATCAAATACACATCTGATATGCTAAAAAATGACTAACATCAGCCAACACAGATTTCGATGCCGATATATTGTGCGTCCCTATTTATTAGGATTAAATAAAGATAATGCGTATAATTCTGTTCATACCAGGGTGAAATTTTTAGGACAGGTGCCGCTGTTGGAGGTCCAGGCCAACCCTGTCACGGGCCGGACTGTCAAGTGCTCCATCGAGGATTTCTAAAGAGGACTGCGAAAGAAAAAAGGAAATTTATCTTAAAACACCAATTCTAAATACATTTTTAGTTTTAAAATGTTTTCATCATAGGATGGGGTTTTATCTCATCTGGTGTGTCTCTAGATGAGTGCGTTCTCTGACTATTTGAATGAATTAATATTTTATTTGGGACAGTGCATGTTAATGAACATACATGTAGGGATAGCATGAATGTAAACACGCCTGATTGAAGCCTAGGGCTAATTTCCATCTGTAGTCCCGAGATCAGATGGTTGTCACATAAAAGTCCAGTGACGTTAACAAAGAGTTCGTTGACAAGGAAATAAATAAATAAATAAACATCAATAAGACACAAATATGAGATTCTGGTCACTGCGGACCCGAGGTATTCGTCACTTTGGGGTTCTCTGACATTCAGAAAGTGGTCCAGTGATAATAAAAAGTGGTCCAATGGCATCATTTAAGTGAGCAGTGATAATAAACACTGAGGGGTAAATCATAAATACATCATATATACAGTACAGTCGTAGGCACATTGGTGAGGATAGCATAGTTCACATTTTTAGCATGCATTATTACAGATTTTGTGTAAGGAGTACACGCTATTAGCATACAGGAATTGCGTTTGTAGTGACAATATCTTGGTTTCATGATTATGTTTTGTGTTTGCGATGGGGATGATGGGGTTGAACTTCTGACTGATCTCCTTGACTGAGTTTATAAAAAAGCTGTTTAATGTGCTGGCAATGGATGAGGGTTCTCTAATAATGGTGCCATTAACATGTAGTTCGGTTACTTTGATGTTTTTGTTTGAATGGCGGCCTAAGAGTCTATTTAGGTTTAGCCAGATGAGTTTACCATTGCCGTTGGCATTCGTTATTCAATTAATGAAGGAAGTAGCTTTGGCTTGTTTTAGGCTTAGTGTTACCTTGTTTCGCATTGAAGTGAAAAGCTGTCTGTCCAGAGTTAGTCCTATTTTCAGGTATTGTTTTAGGAGTAGATCTCTTTTTTCATAAGGGTTTTGCATTCATTGTTTACCCACGGCAGAGCAGGTGTTTTATTTGCACACTGTCGGCCTTTAGAGGAGTAAGTAGCTATAACGTTTTTGAGTGAGTTAGGTGGCTATTACAGAATTGTGGGTCTTTACTGTGCAGTGGAGGTTCCCAGTCGGTCGACTTTATCGCTTCTGCTACATTATCTTGCCGATTTCTTGGTATAAATTCATAGAACGATCTATTATTGGAAGAACTGCATAAGTTATTTTCTGTCCGTGCTTTTGTAAGCTTTCTTGTGAATAAGATAAAGTTGTGGTCTGAGATGCTCGTTATAAGGTTGTGGGTTTTAGTGATTCAGTTTATTACTGAAGACCAGATCAATTGTGGTTTCTGAATGTTTTGTTATTCTTGTGGGTTCATCTATAAGTTGGTTATAATTCAATTAATCCATTATGAGCTTTAGATTTTTCTATCCTTTTTACAGCCCCAGTTTATGTTGAACTCAGCCATTACAATTAACTCGTTCGATTTGTTGTTTTCCCCTGTTATGTTTGATTAGCGCTCGTAGTTGATCATAGACATTTTATTTTTTTTTTTGCAGATGGAGGACGGTATAGACAAATCAGTGTGAAAGACATTTCTGGTGGAGATTTGGAGACCTGTCATGTGGGAAATTCTTGTTCGTTGTTCAAAACAATCAGAACGTATTCAGGATGAATAACCACGCTGACGTTACTCAGTCCAGGACAGAATGTGACTATTTAGAGCAGGAATTCATCACCAATAATAGAACATTTTCTATAGTGCTCTGCTGTTTTTATGTTTGGTGTTTTTCTCCACATCTTTTATAAAAAACACAATCAACTTTAGACATGAACAAAAATCTTTTGATACAATTACATCTGAAAATATTAATAAACATCTAAATTTATTGTTAAAAACATACAAAAACATGGGATTTCCCCCTGTAATTAAACATCCTACTTGTTTTATTATATGTATGTCGATGGTTTTATTGCTTTATGCAAAAGCCGTGCAGAAAAATCACAACGAATCTTGTCAGAATAAATACAAATCAATTAAATATGTGAACTAAAATGACATTATTGAAAAAATGTCCTCATAAAAAGTGACTCAAATCATACTTTAGGATGCTAACTTATCTGTGGATCCTAATCAAATACTTAATTATTATAAGCATAATGGAAAAATTAGCTAAACTTATCTGGGCTGAGCTGACAGTCTCGACTGAAACTCTGATGGTAACACTCACACCAACACCACAGCACGTTAAAAACAACCAAACTTTACATTATTATGACAAAAATCACAAATAAAGCCAGATTTGAACAACTTTTGAATTCAGGTTCTCACAAGTCGAGCTTACCGAACTCCACCGATTGTTCCGTTGACAAAACTTCGCTGTTCCGTGATCCAAATACGTTAAATATTAATATTTCATACGGTAAACTTTATAAATATTTAAACACACGCCTACTCGGTGTCTTTATTTACTTCTCTTTTTATTCAAGCGGTCATATGGAGAGAAATAAACTTCTACAAATCCAGCCAACACGTCCTGAACGCTCTCACCGAAGCAGGAAGTGATGAATCCATCCTAACTACAATTCCCATGAAACCAACGGTGCGACGTCATCATTCCAAATGCATTGCTTCATATAAACGCTAGGTGGCAGCAGATACTTTGATGTGAGAATGCCAAATTTGGCAAGCCTAGGTGAGTGTTTTAATGAAGTGTTATGTTATGCTATGACCAACTAAAATAAAAACATTCTGATTTGCAAATGAACAAAAACACGAATTAAACACCCTAAAAAATACATACCACTTGGGTGAATTGGGAGAATACAGTTGTTTCATGCTAAATGTTTGACAACAAAATGATGACAGAATACTACATGCACACCAGTTTTCATGAAACCTATTTGAAAGATTTATCATTATTTACAAGTAAATTAAGTTAGATTACATTTTGTACTTACCCGTTTATTTGCCCAATATAAGAACAGTCTTAAAATAAACATTAAAAACGTAGGATTTGATTATTTACACATTACATTTAGAGTTATTGTTGCACCCCGATTTTTTAAATCCACCTGAGTTTTCTCATAAGCTGATTCCCCCAAGTCAGAGCTCTCTGCTGCTGTAGTGGGAAACACATAACTTCCTGTGGAAATCCTTTTCCTGTGTTGGTTCATGTTATAGTGAAAAGTCAGAGCTCTTCATACACCTTACTTATTCAGAAAAAATACTTATTATGAATGAAGACTTTGATTTCCTTACGTTTTTGAAAAGCACTGCAAAGTAGTTTTTTTCCCAATAGAAAATCAAGAATCAGAGAGAAATAATTAATGAACTATTAGTTCTTGATTCTGTCACACGTCTTTATGATTTGGACACTTAAAGTAAAAAAATATATAAAATAAAAAATTAATGTTAATAATCTTAATAATAATAATTATAAATATATATATATATATATATATATATATATATATATATATATATATATATATATATATAAATCACATGCAGCAAATTCTCGCATCGCTTTGAATTTTCATTTAACTAAACTAATTCTGACCCATGCAGTGAACATATTTACATAGCCTACTACAAATAGCGTCGTTCCCAGAACTCTACCGTTCTTCGCGTTTTTAAATAAAAAATATCTTCCCATAAATGACATTTTATTTTTTTAAATCAAACTGAAGAAAAAGAAAAAAAAATTCAAAACAAAAAAATTACCTTGAGTATTTGAGTCATCCATCCATCCATCCATCCATCCATCCATCCATCCATTGTCTGAACCTGGTTTTGTCCAGGCAGGGTCGGTGGTGGGGTGGGGTGGGGTGGGGGGGTGCTGGTGCCTATCTCCAGCGGTCAGTGGGCAATCCGGCAGGGTACACCCTGGACAGAGAGCCAGTCCATCGCAGGTATTTGAATCAGAATTCAGATATTTGTGCTGGCTATTCAATAAAAAAATATAACTGTCTTACGTTAACCTTATATTAATAACCGAATATGCTTTAAAAAGGAATTAAAAACAATAATTCAGACACATAAGATGCACATTTGTTTTGAAACTGTTTAATATACAAATGCTCGGTTTTTATTTGTTTATGTCCTCCTCTAGTGTTGAGTCATATATTTGCACCAGTGCTTTCTGCCAAGTCAAACATCTGATTATTTCACCAAACATCTTTTATGGTTTAATTCAAGATTTGATACACAATAAATAAAGAACGTGTTTCTTTTTGCTTTACATATTTATTTGACTATTAAATATTAAGCTTGTGCGTTTTATTTAGTTAACAATAAAGTAATAAAAAATAGATTTAAATTTATTTAAACATTGGTAAATGTTGTTCAACTCAATAAATCTACTTTTTTTTACTAGTACTTGATTTTAAAAAGGATTGATCATAACTAGGCATAAATATTCAATTGCTCTGACCTTACGTTTAGTTAATTTCAAAATAAAATTATATTGAAGTTGACACCATTAAAAACAGATAAAAAACTGTCCTAAAACAGTTCAATGATCAACGTTTTTAAATATTATAAACATTTTATATAAAATAAAAATCTCAGTATGGCAAAAACATTATAACACCCGGTGACACTGGAGTGGAAAGTGATTTTATTTTTGGGAAAGTTGAATAAACCTCTAAAGAAAAAGAGAAGGAAAAGAAAATGTCTACTTACCAAAAACGTAGTTAAAAGCAAACTCAAAGATCACAAATAAATCATTAGCTCAACAGAACCTAAAAATGTGAATGGACCTCATACGTGACTCAAACTTTCAGAAAATATTTGGTTTGGGTTCAGGACAGATGAAGGGTTAAAGGTAGAAACTGATAAGAGACACAGAAAGACAGCGAGAGAGCAGAGCTGGGACAGTGAGACCATTCATCATGGATTTGTCTCCCGGCGTTCTGATCCTGTGCTCCCTCATTTGTTCAGGTAAAGACTCTGATCTGATTTAAACAACACAAAAACAGTTATTTTAATGAAACACCAACTTTAAAATTACTAACTATTCTGCTGAGATAATCTTGGTTAGCTCTTTAGTTTGTTCAAACACATTTTTTGCATTAAAAGTCTTTTTTTTGTACAAAAATGTGAGATTTAAGCTAATTAAAGAGCAACATCTATCATTGACATTGCTCTGCAATGACAGCAACATAAAAGTACTCAAATAAAAATAAAAATGAGAACTCTGTTTAATAAAATACATTTTCTGTGCATTAGAAACAAAATGTAATCTTCTTTAACATTGTGTTTTTCTAAAAAGACTCAGAATTCAAAGTCACGTATTTTCTCTGATTGTTTACTTTGAGGTGGTGTTTGTTTACTCATCCTTTCACCCAGACCTCTGTTAAAGTTCACAGAGTTGAACTTGTGCACGTCCTTGCACGTGACAGCCCTGTGTCTCTGTGCAGTTGCAGGCCAGGTTCCGGCTGTCTCCATAGAGCCTCGCGTTGCTGCCGTTCGCCAAGGAGAGTCCGTCAGCTTCAGGTGCCAGGTGACCAACGGTGGACAGCGAGTCCAACTGGAGTGGAGGAGAGCCAATAATCAACCACTGCTGGGTCAGGGGTCATGACACGAGAGCAGTACGAGTCACCTGTGTGGATTCGTGGAACATTCTTGTTTTTCTTCCAGACAATGTGAAGATTGGTCCTGATGGGTCCGTGCTGACGGTTGCGAACGCGCAACCCGGAAACCAGGGCCAGTATCGCTGTACAGCTGTCAGTTCTGCTGGAAGCAACTCAGCTAATGTTATGCTGAATGTCAAATGTGAGCTTTGTTTTGTCTGTCTGGATTTTTGTTACTTGACTTTTAATTAGTCAAGCAGAAAAAGTCAAGAACACACTTCTTATCTACAACTGTGACCTGCTTCCTGCTCAGTCTGTTGCAGTTGTGTCTTTGGGCGAGACACATTACACTCTTTACATGACGGTGGTGGTCAGAGGGACTGGTGGCGCCTGTGATCGGCAGCCTCACCTCCGTCAGTGCACCCCACGGTAGCTGTGGCTACATTGTAGCTCATCCCCATCAGTGTGTGAATTGATTAATGATTCACTGTAGTGTAAAGCACTTTGTAGTCCTCTGACTCAGAAAAGAGCTCTACAACCGCTCCAGCAAAAGCCGTAGATCATGGTCTGACGAAGCCAACAGGACAACGTCATCTGTAAAAAGCACCTTGGCTACAAATCCTGTCCATAAAAGTCATGAACAGAATCAGTGACAAAAGGCAACCTTGGCAGAGTCCAAGTCTCATCAAATGAGCCCAACTCACTGCCGTTAATGCAGACCAAGTTTTGGTGCTTATCATACAGGGGCCTAACAGCGTGCATCAAAAGGCTTGGTACCCTTGAACCCAGGAGTCCCCCGCACACAAAAGCCCCTAAAGCTTCAAAACACACATTGTTTTGTTGGGCGTACTTCCATGGATCCTCCAGGACCCCCCTAAGGGTATAGTGCTGGTCCAGCATTCCACAGCCAGGAGAAAAACCACATTGCTCCTCCTAAATCCAAGGCTCAACTATCCAACAGCCTCTCCTCCTCCAGAGTAAAACCTACCAGGGAGGCTCAGGAGTGTGAAAATCTAAAAAATAAAAAATAAAATGACAAAAGAAAAAAAAACTAGAAAATATTAGAGTTTCTTAAAGGTCTCCATCTTTCTCTCAGATTCGCCGAAAATACAGCTGACGCCAGCAGGACCCCTGCAGGTCAGAGTGGGCGACCCTGTGTCGGTGGAATGCCGCGCCACCGGTAGGCCGCGACCCACAGTTGCCTGGCAACGCCAAGGCTCCACTCTCCAGCTGGTTACTGAGGAGACCAATGATGTCAACACTCTAAAGGTGAAACTCGTGCAAAAGTCAACAGTGGATCAGGTCCTTTTACATTTTGTTGCCTTTCAGGTAACAAGTTGGATGTGTTTGTTTCCCCAGTGGGCGGCGATTCGTCCGGAGGACTCAGGAGTTTACATCTGCCAGGCCGGAAACAACGTGGGGGTGTCGGAAGCCAAAGTTGAGATCATAGTGGGAAGGCTGCTCGGAGCACCAGTGGCTTCGGTGAACACTGCTGAAATGACAGTGACTGAGGGACAATCTGTAACAATGGAGTGTCAGGCCAGCGGTGAGAGGCATACATAGATTTCATGCATTAGGAATAAGTTTTAGTTCTTCTCAACTTAAGTTTTCTTTGCAGGCTTCCCTGCTCCTGAGATCAGCTGGTCCAAGCTACGAGCACCGCTGCCCTGGAAGCACTCAGTAGCTGACGGTGTCCTGACGCTGACCGACGTGGGACGCCAAGACTCAGGACAGTACATCTGCAACGCAACCAATATCCATGGCTACAGCGAGGCGTACACACAGATGGAGGTGGAGAGTGAGTAGATGACCCTGATTAGGGGCAGCAGTAGCTCAGGTGGTTGAGCGAGTTGCTTCATGATCGGAGGGTCATGGGTTTGATTCCAGCTCCCGCCAGGGGCATCCTGCTGTTGTGTCCTTGGGCAAGACACTTCACCCAACTTGCCTGTGTTAGTGGTGGTCAGAGGGGCCGACGGCGCCAAATGGCAGCCTCGCCTCTGTCAGACCTCCCCAGGGCAGCTGTGGCTACAAGTAGCTTACCATCACTAGCAGTGTGTGAATGTGAGAGTGTGTGAAAGCATCTTTGGGGGTCTTGAAAAGTGCTATATAAGTTCAATACATTATTATTATTATGATTAAACTCAAACACATTCTCACGGGGTTTTCAACTCTTTAAAAGAAGATAAATAGCTCTCTACATGGCCTCTGCTTAACGAAACAGTTTTAATCCCACTAAGCCAAGACCAAAGTATATGGTTTCCATCTGAAAGGGGTCCTAAAATCACTTTATTTTATAACGAGAAACTGTTCATTTAGCCTATAGGCCCCTTAAAAATTATGTTTTACATCCGGGTAATTGCGCACAAGCTGGAGGGCAAGAACCCCATCCATCCATCCATCCATTGTCCGAACCCGCTTTGTCCACGTGGGGTCGCGGTGGGGGTCTGCGACCTATCTCCAGCGGTCAATGGGCAATCAGGCAGGGTACACCCTGGACAGAGAGAGCCAGTCCATCGCAGGGACACACACACACACACACACACACACACACACACACACACACACAAGGACAATTTGGACAGACCAATTAACCTAACAGTCATGTTTTTGGACTATGGGAGGAAGCCGGAGAACCCGGAGAGAACCCACGCATGCACAAGGAGAACATGCAAACTCCATGCAGAAAGATCCCCGGCCAGGAAGCGAACCCAGAACCTCCTTGCTGCAGGGCAACAGCTCTAACCACTGCGCCACTGCACAGCCGGCAAGAACCCCATCTCCAACCATTATCCAGAGATGTGTCACCGTGGTTCAAAGGGACTTTATGGACTTTTGAATTTTTATGCTCGCGATTGCCCCCTCAGGCCAAAAGCGTAACGGCAGCTTCAATAGTAGGCTCGTGCACGAGGCGCACATGCTGTACGTGCACACTCCTTAACGAAAATAACAGCCGAGACAGTCCCTAGTGTGTGTGTGTGTGTGTGTGTGTGTGTGTGGCCTGGAGGACAGAGGACAGGAGAACGCGCAGCTAATGAATTAAATAATTTGGTTCTGTACCTTTCTCTTCAGCACAGCCGACAAAGGTTTATGATGGGTCAGTCCTCCTGCTCAGATCATTCCCTTCCCTTGCTTGAAAAATTGTTCAAAAATGAAAGATGAACCCACATCTTTTTTATCTGTGAATTCAATTCCGTTCGGCGAGTCTCAAATAAAAATTAGGACATCTTACTGGCAAAAAAATACTATTAATGTAAAAAAGAAACTCTAAATAAAGTATTCACATCCAAAATCGAACCCAGGTCTTCTGCACAAGAGTCCAACGTCTTACTGGGTGAGCTAAAGTGTCAGTGACATCATTTGCATCTGTAGCTTTTATATCCTTGATGACAGCTGAAACAACGTTCAAAGAACGTTTCTGAGCGAAAATGGCTATTTTATTGCTAATTTGCAGGAAATATCTAGAAGAAAGTTCTACATAAAGTAGCTAAGGATCCTCAGAAATGTAGCTAGCTTTGTCACTAGGCGTTTGGAACAGCAACAAAGTGGCACTGCCTCGCTCTCTGCTGCTAAAGCTACTAATAGCAAATACTACGGGCGATGCCTGAGCGTGAACGAGCATGAAGCAGCCTGCTCGACCCGAGCAGCTCTCTTTTTCTGTGATTTTACAGAAAAACAGGCAATCACAGTAAAAATGCCAGGGCTCATTCTACAGGGCCAGGGCATTGCAGGAGAATGTATGAAGAAGAAATTTATTATTTCTGTACATGTTTTGGCTGTCAAACTTCCATAATGCCCCTTTAAGCTAACAAAATAAAACCTAGGGATTTAGATATTACTACTTTAGATAATTTGTGCAGAAGAACAAAAAAAGAAGCATCTCTAACATTGCTAACTGTTTAGCATAAAGCTACCAGATCCATTTGAAGTAGCTAATGAGCTGTGGGGACCATCAGAACCAGTCGCCTGACCTTCACACAGCTAAAGCAACGAAGGCGTAACCGGATCCCTTCAGTGTTTTGCGGGTTAATGTTCGCAGTGATGCCGTTTGTCTTTGGAGATCAATGGATGCTCCGTTTATTCTGACTAGCAACTTAAACAGAAACAGTTTACCATGGAGAGTTGGGCCGCCCGCTCTGATTACACAACACAAGACTGTTACTGCGGGTCACAGAACTACACACTACATCGGCGTTGTCATTTTCACACACATTTATTTCTCAGGACTGATCAGCAGCACAGTTCCTCCCGCTACCACCTCCTATTGGTTTTGAATTCTAGAACTCCTTTTAAAGTGATCTGGCATGCAAATATTCACTATACATATACACGACCCACAGACAGAGCTTAGTCGTGGGGCGGAAGCCTCCACATGCGATTGGACAGCGCTAAGACCAATCAGTGCAAAAATCAATGTGACATATTAATTGCTGTGAAAATCAGTCGTTGGCACTCCGCCATACACTGTCGAAGAAGAAGAAGACGAAGCAGAAGCAGCAAAAACATCTTTTTTAACATAAAGTTAAAATTGTCCAAAGTTGATGCCAAAGCTGTTTGAAACAAGCGTTGTTCCTGAGCTGTCGCCATCTTTGTAGTCTCTCTCTGTCACAGATCTGGTGCTAAGCCCGCCTAATGTCTCTCAACAAACATAGAGCGTTGTGATTGGCCCGTCAAAAGACTTTTCGGGCCAATAGTAGACCTGCAGCTATGGAGTGTGGCTTGACCGACCTGCAGAGCAAAATCTTTTCCTAATGCAATCGCTTGTCTGGGGCTACTTTAAAAGAGTTTCAATCATCAAAATTTCATTTCAATGCATCGAGACGTACACAGATTCTTCTAAATGTCTAAATTATTGTTTTTGTTGTTCTTGCAGCTCCTCCATATGCCACCTGCCTACCTGACCAGGTGAGGCTCCGCCCTGGTGATGCCCTGGTCGTGCAGTGCCTCGCCCACGGCTCGCACCCCATCAGTTTCACGTGGACTCGGGTGGGCAGGGCCAGCCTACCTGCGGGAGCAGAAGCCACTATGGAGGGAAAGTTGCTGATAGCCCGCGTAAAGCAGAGCGACGGCGGAGCGTACAAATGCGTCGCAACCAATCACATCGGCTCTAGTGAGGCTCTGGCAAAAGTCATCATCAAAGGTGAGCTGGTGATGTCAAGTGCATCAGGTCAATCCTCTGATTTCTTTCACCCTCTGATTTATTTTGTTCTATTTTGTTTTTACAGCTTGAAGCACCATGATCATGGCCAAAAAAGATTCTACGAGAGCAATGACATTTAATAAACATGTGTGGTTTTATTGTGAATATCAGGCTCAGTGCTGTAAAGGGAATCAATGATTTTTTCTTAATTTACAGCAAAAAGGAAAGCGTTCTCTTCCACACAGTCAAAATCATTAAGCATGACACAAAGCAAAGAAGAATCTAATTTGATAATGAAGCTGTTGTCAAAACTAAAGGTAAATCAGTATGTTTAAATTGAAGTTAAATATTTTTTAATGCTTTTATTGAAGAGATTTAATCATTTATCAAGAAAAAGAAGCTATAGTCATCTGCTGTGGATCAAATTGATTGTTTCACCACTTGAATAAAAATATTTAATGACATTTATATTAAGTAGATCTGTGTTTCCTATTAACCATTTAAAGCCTAACACGTAGTTTTAATTAAAAAAATTCTTATTTTAAAACAGCTATTTACTGACTGCAAATGTAAGAGCTTTGTAAAATTCAGATTTTTTAAAATGTAATTGTAATATGAAAGACCTTGTTTCACGCAGTACCATGATCCTCCACCAGAGGGCAAAAAACATAAATACACGTAGCCTGGCCTGCCAGACTGTCCTCTGTTTAATTCTGCACAGAGAAAGAGTCTGGTAACTCACAAGCAGAGAGGCACTTGAGGGGCGGGACTAGCCAGCTCAAAAATAACCAATCAGAAAAAAGACGGAAATGTCGACTGCACCGCGCAACGCTGTAGTTTTTTTTTAGCTGTAGTCAAAAATAGCGTCTGGCAATGGCGCAAAAATCTTTTTTTTTTATTAGAAGAAATGCTTTTGGCGCTTCTACTTGTTGTTGTTTTAAATACATTCAAGTCATTTAGAAAAGGGGAAAGAGCCGCAGCAAACTCTGCTTCAGTCGCCATGTTTATGACAAACTTGGCGTTGTGGTGTGTGACGTACGCTACTCAGCGCTGATTGGCTCGGTTAGAATTCTCAGGGGGTGGGGTTATTTGAATAGGAGAGTTCCCAGACTCTTTCTCTGTGCAGAATTAAACAGAGGAGGAGTCTGGCAGGCCAGGCTAAAACACATGTGGACAAAATTGTTGGCAACTTTCAGTCAATGAAAGAAAAACCCTCAATGGTCACAGATCTAACGTGAATCTGACCAAAGTAATAATAAATAAAAATTCTATGAAATTTAACCAATGAAAGTCAGACGTTGCTTTTCAACCATGCTTCAATGTAAACTTATGGAACAGGCCTGGACAAAATGATGCTACCCTTAGAAAAGACCGAAAATAATGTGACCAAAAGGACATGCTTATTCCAGGTGTGTCCACTAATTAGCATCACAGGTGTCTACAATCCTGTAATCAGTCAGTGGGCTTATGGGGCTCCAGGTAGTTTGGTGGCATGGGGTGTGTCCAAATCCACGGGAAGGATGCTTGTAAGAGTGCGATGACGTCACAGTGCAGCGACGAGTACTGTCCGAATACCAAGAATACTCATTCTCACGTCCTCAAACGCGTCCTCGCTCCGCCCACATTTCGAGGACGGGTCTCTTACTTATCCATAACCAACTTTTAAGTTAAATTAACAACTCAGAGTTACTCTTCCCTTTTGGCATTGTTTATCTTTCAGGAATATATTAGAAGCTTTTCTGATTTCTGTTCAAGGATCACATGGCTGATAGGATATTGTCTCACTTGTGCCCAAGGTCTGTTAGAATGCGTGTTCATATTCTGACACGACCTTGCTGTTTAACCGACACAGAGGAGCGTGAAATTCTGTGTCAAAGCATTTCAAAGTTCCCAATCTGAGAACACATGAAGAATTAAAAGAATTAAAATTTAGTAAATGCAAATTCCCTACAGCAGCTTTAATGTGCTGTCTCATTTAATTTGGCCTACAGACTGTTTCTCCCCTTGTTCTGATCACAAAGCCCGCTAATCGGAGATCTGAACAAGTTCCTACGTTGGACAGCACCAGTAATGACAGTTAATGACAACCGATATTTTTTAGAGATTTCAAAATGCAGTTTTTGAATTCAACAGGTGCTGCACACCAAATCTGCTGTCGCCCGGGCTCGATTGTCATTCACTGAGAACTCCCTTGTCTTATTTAAAATGTCAGAGACAAAGATAAAAAAATAAAAAAATAAACAAGGAGATAAAATGCAATAGTTCAAATTATATTAGTCACCTGAATACCAGGAATTAAATATTTGGTTACTGCTTAACCCTTTGATGCATGAATTATGAAACCTTCAACCATGATTTTTTAACAATTATTCTCATTCATTTTTGGGTGTGAATAGAACAAATTTCAACAAATATTGTTTGTAACATTTAATGATTTGCAAATAATGTATTACATGTTCACCTCAGTGGACAGCGTGTATTCTGAACATGAAATATGGGCTTAACTTACTGAAGTAAAATAGAGGTGCTCAAATGCAATAAAGTCTTCAGCAGCTGTGCTTAACAGCAAAAACAAAAAATAACAATTATTAGAATCTGTTCAAATTATATTTTTCATTTTTATTTTCTAGCTATAACGATGGTTATAACCTTCAGGCCGCAATTGACCTTGGTGGCTCAGACTCAGAGCACAGCTGCGGTTGTTTTGATTCTTTGGGCAGGCCTTGCCACCTCTCTGTTTCACATTTTCAACCTTTTTCTTTCTCTCCACCGCTCTGTGTATCCTCCGAACCCTACTCCTGATAGTTCATTTGTAATTTTCTCATTTTTCTCTCTTGTGCTGTCTCACTTTAAGGTTACTCTGCAAGTACAACACATCAGCGGTTACCAAAATACAAGAGAAACTTGTTTTCCATCAATCCTCTGATGATTTTCAGATCATTTCCCCATTTGCTGGATTTACATCTCCATCAATGTACCATCTTCATTCAAAAGGTGTTTGTGAGTTCTTATTCCCCCATACATAGATACCACACATACAGAGCAAATCCATCCACTCTCTCATTTATCCAAACAACAGTTAAAGCAGACAACATCTAAGAACAAACAACAACACAGATAACTAGAGCACATTTCTAATTCTCCGGCTAAATCGCTCAAAAACCCAAGCCAAATACAGACAGCATACAGAAAATCTGTCAAAACCATCCTATTCATGGTGGACAACACCAACTATTTCTTACACAAGAGTTGCATTTCTAATTTCGACTAAAATGCAGACAACCAAGCCAATACAGACAGCATTCAAAAGAACCTGTCAAAACCATCCTATTCAAGGCGGACGACACGGAAACTTGACCTCTGGTCACCTAGGTTTGTCTCTCGGTACCACAAAACAAACAACAAACTTGTCTCACCAAATCTCTCCACTCAGGTCTTGAGTAGTTCATGGATCCGCATTCCCTTCAAGACCCTCACACCAACCACCCAGAAAAACTCAGCGCTGTTGGAGATTTAGGTTGTCGACAGTCCTCCGACGTCGGTTCTTGGCGCCGCGAGGTGATAGGACCCCGGCTATCAAAGGACCAAATAATGTCATGGATTTTATCAATATGTTTATCAATAACCCATTTCCTATAGTGAAGAGAGAAGGAGACAATGAGCAGACAAGTCAAACAGTTATAACTGTGGCATAATGCACGAGGCAAAATGCCCCGAACATCTGGTCAGAGTTTATTTATACCAAGAGATAAGAGAGAGAGAGAGAGAGAGAGAGAGAGAGAGAGAGAGAGAGAGAGAGAGAGAGAGAGATTGTGTGTGTGTGTGTGTGTGTGTGGGGGGGGGGGGGGGTCAAGAATGTGTGTGTGTGTGTGTGTGTGTGTGTGTGTGTGGGGGGGGTCAAGAATGTGTGTGTGTGTGTGTGTGTGTGTGTGTGTCTGAATAAGTGCAAAGAGGCAGAGAGCAATACATTTACATTTAGTTGATTGAGTCCATGATCAAGAATTAATAAAACATACATTTTTCCATAACACACACGCTTTAAGGTCTCTGTGCCAATTAGGAAAATCAGATCTATCACAGCAGTTCACTAAGTCACACCAGCAGTTAACACACTCTCACACACATACAGAGAAACACATGCGTGCACGCTCGCTGCATCCCAGAGAGCTATTCATCACAATTTAGGAAGCGTATTAGACACTGAGGGACAATGACAGCCAGTCAAGACTCTAAAGCTTCTCACTCCACGCAGTCTCAAACTTTTGAATTTCTGCAAAGCTGTCACCCATCTTTTTTAACGCCTCAAAACTTAGTCTTTTTCAATAACTTAATCAAAAATACACAATATGTTTTTGTAAGTTTGACCCATTTCGTATTTCTTTGTTCCTGCACTCGTTTATGGAAAAAAAACTTTTCTATATTAAAAAAAAAAGGTTTTGGATCTTCATAAAACAGAAACTTCTTAATGAAAATGTCAAAAAGGTAAACCTGAATAAGTTCCCAGAACTCAAAAATTTTGAGGCAATCAATTGCCTCAATTTTTTTGAGTTTTGATACTGAAAATTTTAAGTTTTCATAAATAAAATTTCTTAATAAATTTTACTCATACATTTGAAGTTTATTAAATTAAAATTGCTCATCCAATCAACTCAAAAGTTCAACTGTACACTGTAACCTCGAATAAGTTCACTGAACTCAAAATTCATGAGGAAACTGATTACCTAATAATTTTTAAGTTAACTTATCTAAAAACTATAAGTTAACCATAATTTAAAAAATATGACCTGAATAAAATCAAAGCATTTAACTACATCCAACCTATAACTTAGCACGTAAGCAACTTACAAAGCTTTATTTCACTAAACTTGCATATTTCATTTTGATTGAACTTTATTACATGTTTTTACTAACTTAATAATATAACTTATACGAACTCTAAATTGACCTATTAAACCCTAACCCAAATAAGCTGAATTTAATTAAAAGTGACAATGTGGCAGGCTGGTCAAGGCAGTAATTAACACCAGATCATGAATCACACACCCCTAGATGCTAACAGCCAATAAAAGTGGAACACTCAAAGTCAAGTCAAGAGTATCTGGTGTGAACAACCACAGTATTAATAACAATGGGACAGCACAGCCGTACAGCATTACTTTGACCAACCTCCTCACTTATGGTGCCAACATGATACAAAAAGTAACATCACATCTGCAACACTGAACGAAATAATAACTGAGAACAACAATCATCCACAATAAACATGCATAAACACCCCAAAATAGAGCAAAATAACTGAAAATATGACTACCCACAATGCACCACGCCCACCAGTTGTTTATTGTTCCTGAAATCCAACACAATTGCTAGTTTGTGGTTGTTTTTCTTGTAAATCCACAAATATTTAAAATAATATACAAGTCTGTTTATCAGACACACTTTAGGGTTGACGTAAAGATGAATGGAATAATATAGAAACATAACATAATAAATCGATCTTTCTTTGGTTAATATTACTCATTAAAATTAAGTTAAGTTTACTTAAAAAAAAAGAAATAGTTCAGATTAATTAAAACGTTTGAGTTCTATGTACTTAAAACAAGAAAAATGTTGAACAAGCTCAACACATTTGAGTTCTAAAAACAGTTTTTTAAATTATGAGTCTACTCAATATATTTGATCATTTAGAACTTTAGGGTTTACAGTGTGGGAGCAATTTTTGCCACACAGATGCTCAGCACTGACACATTTCCACACAACTTAATGTGAAACCTTCAAATTACATTAGCAGAATATGACCCAAACTGCAATTGGGGTGTAGACTTTTAATTAAAGCAATTAAGTTCATTAAGATCCATCCTTGGAAATTAGCATATTTCCCGTTAATAGAAAATGCTGGATCATCCCTGAAAATGTCCTCCAAGAAGCTTTTTATTCAAGCCTAGATAGATTTTTATGGTTTTGCACCTTTTTTCTTGAACACCACATAGAAACAGAAATACATGGACACATCTATATAGTCGTGGATGAGGGAAGACTTAACCTCCACTGATCTCCCCTCTTCCCTCCAAATTACTGATGAAGTGCTGCAGGATTTTTTGAGGTCTTGTCAAAATCTTGCTGAGACATTAGGCTGTTTGACTAGTAATGATGAAAGATCTGCACACAAGACTTAATTTCTGAATCTGTGACCGGGATGCAGGAGGCAAAGGCTTATGTGTATCAGAAAGATTCAAAGAGCAGCAGCTCCACCTATAGATGTGCTCAGCATCTACAGAATCCTCTGGTTGGGATATTTCAGTCAATAAGAAGTGGTTAGTTGATGATCATTTTTCATTGCGGCAACAATCACAACTTTCTTAATTTCGCTTTAAATGTTTTTCATTCATAGTATTTATTCATGTATTTGACAAAAAATTGTCACATTGTTCATATTTAGGGGCTTTGCAGCCAGAGTATTTGCAAGTCCGTTAATGCATGAAACTGAGTTTTTAGTAAACAAACGAGGGATCTGCAAGACTAGTTATTGAATTTCCCAAAACCACCTCTGGTTTTAAATTTTTTACCCAAAATGTCTAAATTAGCTGCACCAAGTTTCTTTTCTTAAATCTGTCCACACCTTTGAAGTCAGTCTACAGGTTTTTCAGTCTTGATATTTATTTACTCTGATCATGTATTTTAACAGTATGGTATGGTGTGGCTTCTGTATATTAAAAGCAGGTTACAGGAATGGAAACTTCCAATTTAATAAAATGTTTCGATGTTTGATTAATATTTTAATGTTCATTAGACACTTGAATTAAATTATTTCAGTTTGGAAGTCAGGACAAAATGTGTAACTTTCTTGAGGAACTGCTTTATAATTGTTTTAAGGAATAAAAATAAACATTTTTTTTTGCAAAGATGTGGTTGTAAAGTTTCTTCAACCAGCAGACGGCGCTACAATCAAAAACAAAAAACAAGACTCAATCAGGCTAGCAATAAACAGCACTGTTTTAAACACTCTGCTGGATAATCTATTTTACAGGAATTAAGAAAAGACATAATTGTGTTTAACTCTGTGTTCTGTGTGAAATGTCATACAAGTGCAGAAAAAAAGAAGAAAATACAATTATTTATTTGTTCAGGTATGAAAAACACCAAAATAAAAACCACTGAAAATAAAGTTAAACTTTCCCCAATGATATTTATGTGTGAACAGAAAAAACGCTTCTATTCTGCAAGACTTCCTGGATCTTGGGAAGAGACAGAAAACTCCTTATGGGTGGCGGACACCAGACAGGACAGGACGGGACAGTGGGACATCCGAGATTTCAGTTTCACTTCAGCTCCACACAGCAGACAGACCACCTGTAGAAAAACAAACCACAGATTAAGAAATGAGGGTGGTCCCGAAAACGTGCTTGTTAATGACAGCACGTGTCGTGTGTCATTAAACTGTACCATTAGCTATGCTAGGTCCAGCTTCTTCTGCGTCTCTGATAGTTTATCTTGGAGCCGTTTCTTCCTCCAGTCTAGAAACTTCCTCCTCATCCGGTTCGCCTGCCAGCCCGACAAAAAGCCAACCGCAAAAGAAACAACCACAGCGACTTGGAGCGTCCTCTCCGAAAAGTCCGCCATGTTTAACGTCTGGACATGTTTTGCGTAATCAACGGGTGTGTCCGAATCCACGGGAAGGGTGGGTGCTTGTAAGAGTGCGATGACGTCACAGCGCAGCGACGAGTACTGTTTTTTTATAAACCTTTATTAACAAAAATAGAATATACAATGTGACAATGAGGTTCCAAACTCACAGTTGACAACGAATAAGAAAAGTGAGATGTGCACAAAAAATAAAAACAAAGTGCCAGGGGGATATGAAAAAGGTGGGTGTACAGAAAAATACCGATTACAGTAGCATATATCTAGAGAGAACATCAACACAGAAATAGTAATAAATCAGGATCAGATTATCTTAAAGCGGATACACATTTGAGTAGTCTTTACAGCCTTCTGGTTTTGTGAGAACCGGATAGAGTCCATATAATGCTTGACCTCCACTAAGAAACAGTTAAAGTTGGGTTTGCTTTTAAGAAATTTATATTTATGGATATGAAATTTGGCCAAAAGAAATAACAGATTAATAAAAAAATGTAATAGAGTTATTAAAAATATTCTGGTGAAGGCCAAACAAAACCTGCTTCCAATAAATGTTAAAATTGACAGAGAATTTACAGCAGATGAAGTCACAGAAAGACTGCCCAAACCGTTTGGACTGAGGGCACAGCCAAAAAAGATGAGTTGTTGTTTCTGGAAGATCTTCACAAAATGTACAAGATACATCCAGGTCTGGTTTAAATTTTTTAAAATAACATTTAGAGGGCTAGAATCTATGTAATAGTTTAAAGGAAGTTTCTTTAACCTTGTTAGTGATCAAAAATTGATCGGGTTAAACCTTCCTCCATGTCAAGTCATCCACAAATCTATTCCAGTATGATACGGCACATGGAAGAGATGTCATGTCTTTAAGAAAGAGAGTTCTAATTGCTTTATTTTTATTATTAGGAGAGCAATTAAAACATACTTCACAGATTGGGGACAGAACTGGAGAAAAAACAGGAGAGAACTGACTATAAATTAATCTAGGTCTCTGATTGAATAACATACACACTCCTGGAGAAATGGCTCCAAAAACCTTTGCGTATTCGCCCGGCGTAATCGGAATATTATACTGTTGTAAAAACTCACCACAGGAAAGTAACTGACCTTCTGCATTAAAGAGTTGGTCTACTAAAATTATGTTATTCTGGAACCATGAGTTGAAAAACAGAGACTTGTGTTTATAAAGAATGTCCTTATTATTCCAGATGAAGTAGCGGTGAGGTGAGAAATTGTGCTTGTACATGAGTGTCCATGAGAGGAAGGCCTGGCGATGAAAGGCTGATAACTTAACGGGGAGCTTTTCGACATTGCAAATCAAGAAAAACTTTAAACCACCAAGTTGGGATAAAATGTGATGGGGTATTATATGCCAGATAGAGGAAGGAGACTTGAAAAACTGATGAATCCAGTTAATTTTAAAAGTATTATTCAATAAAGAAAAGGGAAGCAAGTTCAAACCACCATTTTCAAGCGCATTCATTAGGGAGGATTTTTTAAGAAAGTGGGTCTTTTTATTTCCAAACAAAATCAAATAATAACCGATCAGTCTCCTTACACACTTTACTATTAAGATCTAGAGCCAGGGCCGCATAAGTCAGCCGGGAGATACCCTCAGCTTTGCTAATCAAAATGCGACCTCTTATAGAGAGGTCTCTTATGAGCCATTGATTACGCTTCTTCTGAGTATTTTTAATGAAAGGATTAAAGTTTCATGAACATCTTTCATGTTGATTTTTTGTGATAATTACCCCTAGGTAAGTAACTTCATTTTGGACAGGTATATTCTCAAATTCACATTCAGAACAATTTTTAATTGCCACGAGTTCGCATTTTTTAATATTTAAATGGAGTCCGGATACATTGGAAAATATATTTATTACGTTGATTGCCACAGAAATTTGAGAGTGATCTCTTAAAAATAAGGTTGTGTCATCAGCCAGTTGTGTTAGTATCAAGCTTCTACCAGCTACTGTTATACCTTTAAGAGGACTAGAATGTATGTGATAGGCCAGAATTTGACTCACTAAAAGAAATAAATAGGGGGAGATGGGGCATCCTTGACCGATACCTCTACAAATATTAAATTTGGCAGAAGTACCGCCCTTCAACTTGATGGAGCTATTACTATTTTTATACATAGTTTTAATAGCAGCTTTAAAGAAAGGCCCAAAACCAAATTTGTCAAGAGACTGAAAAATGAAATTATGCTCAATGGTATCAAAGGCTTTGTAAAAGTCTAAAAATAAAATGAAACTATTGTCTTGAACAAGCTCAGGGTAATCTAGGAGGTCTAAAACAAGCCTAATATTATTGGTGATATGTCTGTTCTTCATAAAGCCTGATTGTGTGTCATCAATGATTGAGTGTAGAGTTGATTTTAACCTTTTAGCAAAAGTGACAGTCCTCAAACGCGTCCTCGCTTCGCCCACATTTCGAGGACGAGTCTGTTGCATCAACATATATCGGTCTGTTGTATCGATCCTCACAGAACAAGGCTATCCCAGCATGCTTTGCGTGTCGGCTGTGGATTTTCAACAGGCAGAGAAAATGGGGAGAGCTACGAAGTTTTAAATGTAAGTTTGTTAAAAACTAGCCGTAGAAACCGTAAAAGCTTAAAGCGGTTCAGTTTATAGACATTTTTCATTTGTATATTTGTTTTCTAAATTACATTTTAGGCAGAAATCAGCCAGAACGAGTTTGTATCGCGGGTCCCAGTTATTCCCGTGTGTGTGTAGCAAATTAAACTGGTCATTTGTTTTAAGGACAACAGAGCAAAGAAGCGTTTTTATTACACTTAGAGGTGAAGAGTGAAGCTGTTTACACACACAACCACAGAAGTTCTTCTGTGAAAAGTAGTTTTACATTCAGGGATTTACAGCTGACACGTTTTAATGAAGTAAAACGTGTTTGTTTGAAGAATATGATTTTTATCTTCTTATGTGGATAAATGTAAAAATGTGTTTATTGCCTTTTTGTCACCTGTGGTCTCTGATTTTCTCTGTAGGACTGCAGGTGTCCAGGGTCAGGAGAGGCTTTACCTGTTGGTCCTCTTGGGAGAGAGGCCTTCTACTGTCATCATGTTAATGTTATTTAGCTGTCTGATATTTGAACACATTTATTAAAACAAATACTAATAACTTTCTGGTCATTGATTTTATCACCAGTTTTATTATTACAGATGTTTTTGGACATGCTACATGAACAGAAAATGAAAAGATGGTAAGGAGACAAGATTATTTATAATACGTTACACTTATTTACAGATCAAAACCAGTATGGACCAGTTATGTACGGTTAAAGCAGGATTAACCTGAGTGACTCTTCCTGGATCATTTATTTAAACTGAGTGAGCAGGAAGTCTTTAACAGAGCAGCTGGATCTGCTGCAGGAGGATCCAGGCGTGGATGGAGGGCTGGAGCAGACCTGTGGCTGGACGTTTCTGGCCAGAGGAACATCATACATGACGGTCTGCAGAGAGAGCTTTGGGACGCTTCCTCTCACTGTACACCTCATCGTCCATCTACAGGGCCTGCTGGGCTGGCTCAGACGACGGCTGTTACATCTCTGTGAATGACTTGCCTGTTAACAATTGTGGTGGTCTGCTGGTACCTCCTCCAGGACAGAGCACCACTGACCTCCTCCACACACATCTTCCTCAGGCCCTGTCCACACGTAGCCGAGGATCTGCCAAAACGTAGACATTTTTCTACGTTTTGGCCTGTCATCCACACAAACGGATCTTTTTAAAAACTCCGGCCAAAGTGAAGATCTGCGTTTTCTCCGTTTTGGGTGTCTGCGTGTGGACGGACAAAACCGGAGTTTTAAGGTCCGCAACGTCACTTTCCGCGACAAAAAAATGCTGACATCACGTGTGCGACCTGTGTTTACACTAGCCGACAGCATGGATGCCCTCAGAGCTGCGCTCGCTTTATCAATTGTCCAAGCTCTTTTAGCTTGTTTGTTTTTGCAAGCGGAATTACTGCTCCTTGCGGAAGACCACAGACGAAGGACGAGGTTAAGAACGGGGGAAGTACTGCCGCCTACAGGTCTGGCATGTCCTTAACAACGTATTTATCCGGGTACGTGTGGACAGAGTTTTTTTTAAAACGAGGTGGTGTGGATGCAAGTTTTTGGAGGGGCGGATATTCGTTTTTAAAAAAAACCGGCTACGTGTGGACTAGGCCTCAGGCTCATCCTCCAGACCCACAACTGCACCAGCACAGAGGCAGATGTTCTGCACAGTGCATGCTGACCTGTAATAGATTAAATAAGAGTTTGTTTGTTTTTATTATAGAAAAATGTAAAACAAAACATAACCTGCAGTACATTGGTTCTGTTCAGTTTAAAGAAAAGCAGCAGGGAATAGTTAGTTGTGAATAGTTATCAAGTTTGTATTTAAAATTCTGTAGCTGTAATATTTCACCATCTTTATCCATAATATCGTGTACAAAGATAATTCCTTGATCAAACCACTGTTGGTTAAACAAAGAATTTCTGTTTGAAAAAATACTCGATTATTCCACAAGGTGGCACAATGAGGAGTAAAATTATGGGTAAATACCATCTTCCAATAATGCAATACTTGTTTGTGAAATTCAGATAATTTAAAAGGCAATTTAGTGATTTCAAAGTCACATTTCAAAAGAAAGTTTAGCCCCCCAAACTTCTTGAAGACATTTTTTGGAATATGAAACCAAATTGTATCTGTCTTCATTAGAAATTCTTTCAGCCACTTGGTTTTAAATGTTCCTAGCAAGGCTAGACTGTCCGAATTCAGAGCCGCTGACTTCCGGTTTTAGCGGTCTTAAAGGACCCGGCCTTGCTTGACCGGCGAGGACCCGTACTCATAAGCATCCTTCCTGTTGATTCGGACACACCCATGGTGTGTCCACACTCAACATGGACCAGAAGAAGAGAAGGAAAGAATTGTCTCAGAAGATTAGAAAGAAGTTATAGACAAGCACGTTAAAGGTAAAGGCTATAAGGCAGAGGTGCCCAATCCTGGTCCTGGAGGGCCAGTATCCAGCAGGT